TCTTTTCTGAAGAGGAGAAAACTCACAGCCTCCCACTACAATGCCACCACCACTCTGAAAATAACATTTTAGCAGGAGTTAACTGGATCTAGCTTCATGCCCAAAATTTCCCTTTCTGACTGCACAAAGGCAAGAATCTATGCAAAAAAATAAGTTAGTAATTAGTGCAAATCACACAAGACTGTGAAAAAGAGGCTGAAGAGGTTCTCTAGCACTGCACAAGTCTGAAAACCCATATCTTTGCATCTTTTCAGGTAGGAAGAAAATTGACCTGGAGTTTCCTGGTGATGTTTCGAATGTTTAAAACATGGGTTAAACTCAAATATGTAAATTATTATAACTGAGTCGCTTCTGCTACAGCAATTACTAAGACAGTAATTTCATTTGTTTTATCTATCTGAAAAGTTTCCAAAGCCCTTCACTTTCAAATAAGCACGACAATCAGTGTAATGCAGGGACCCTTCAACCACAGTAACGCATGGTGATCTAAATTAGGTCAGTTTATATTTGTGAGTGTGTTAGAAGTGCAATCTACTCAGACCAAATTAGGTCAGCTCGCAGTGTCCTGCTTAGTGAAATGTGGCTCTAGAGCAGGAGATGCAAAACCTGTCAAAACATCAACTGAGAAAGCCAGAGCAACTTGGGACTACACTATCCTCTCCTTCAGGTCAGCACACCTGCATTTGGCCCTTGTAAACAGAAGTGAGACAACACACAGCAACATGCCTTTCCTTGGAGGTTCAATTATGTATCTTTTCCTCCAATACAATTTATCTGTTTATGTCAATTGTGTGTCTGGCTGAATGCAATTGTTTAATCAGCCAGGATATTCCAGGAAATTCTACAATATATTCGCTGTTTGCACAGAAAAAAACCCAACAATGTAACACTTGTACTTTCTTCTTCATTAATTTTACAAAAGTATTGCAGTCTTTTCAAGTTATTTTTTTATGCCTACACATTCTTTGTGTAAGGAGAAGCAATATGATAACATATATTGATACTTTCTTTTTAGGTATACAGATTCTTTCCTCACTAAGCCCTTAAACATGCTTTTGTTTACCTAAATCATCTGTGTGCATGCTGTGCTTACTGTGTATTTATATTATTCTGTGTGTTCCTTTATTGATTAACACCTCTGTAATAATACATTTCTACTAGAATAAGATTGATTTATTTATCTTGCAGATGCTGCTTAACTTCATTAAATCCCTATCAACACTTTTGATGCTGACACACCAAGTCTTTAGTTTATAAACAGAGGAATGCACTTCACTACAGAAAACGTGACATTCCTTACATGAAAGAAAAGTATTTAATGTGCAAAACATTTTATGCCTGCGATAGAAATTAACAAAACCTTTAGCCAGTTATTCTGAAAACCTGCCTGGTCTCTGTATTGTGTATGCTACTCTCATTTGTGCTAATAGCCTTTTCAAGAGCAATAGTTTAACACAGCCAGCTCCACTAAAACATCAATGCAAGAATATAATCTTGAAAATCTCTGGTAAAATACTTTTAACATACTGTGCAACTCCTGCCAAACAAATCTAATTCAGCCTGATTTAATGCATGGATTTGTAAACCTTTGTTATTTCAGACTGAGTTTTCATTTCTAAGTAGAGAGCAGGTAAGTAAGTTTGTTCAGTACTGGAATCAACACTTGCCTGCAGATTAAAACGGGGAAATGAATCAAGCAGATCTGAAAACACAGTTTACAATTCCTAAATCCATGTAACAGCTTAGCCTGTTCTCCAACTCTGAGAGTGCTTAGACCACTTATATGCAGATATAAAACTAGCACAGATGTGAGCACAGTGTTTCATAACTGAGCATCCAAGAGCATTAATGTGATAAAGATCAGCTGTAATACTCACTAGCAATTAATTACACTGCTTTTCTACATTAAATAGTTTGCCTTTATGTGTTCTGTAGTGAAGTGCTAAGATTCATACTCTCATAATACATTCCCGTATTTGTAAGATAAAAACTTGTATGTGTCGGCATCAAAGGTCTTCATAAGGAATTAGGGAAGTTAAGCTGCAGCTGCAAGGTACTAAGTCTTTTTCTATTTATATTACATTTTTAGGCGGGTATTAACCAATGAAGGAACATATGGTATAACATAAATACCCAAAATGGCATATCCTGCAAATTCCCCAAAGTCCAAGCAGAGCATAGCTGCTGTCAATAGCATATTTTAAAGAAAACAGCATCTGTATTCTGCAACAATACGGGCTCACTAATTTTATAAGGCTGTTTTAAACCCTAGTAACATATTTGTTTGTAATAGGCCTTTTCTATTTTAAAAACACATCTGAAAGGTTTGTTAGCAATTTTTGGGGAGATAGAATAGAAGATGGGAGAGGAATCATTGATACCTCATTTCTAGATAGGCTTCACAAAAATTCAGTGAAGTCTGACCAGATGCCTGGGATGCTTGATTCCAGAATGTGAACTCAGTAATATAGAGGAAAGTCTATATAGGCATATGGTGAGAGGTATCAGAACTTGTTTCTCTGTAAGTGAAAAATTAAGAAAACATTTGGTCACTACATCTGGCTTTCCAAAAGAAAGAAGGCTTTTCAGCTTAGAACACAAAAGCATAACAAAGGCATTGGATCATGGAATTAGAATTCAACCCAAATAAGAGAGGAATATTTTCTGAAAGGAAAGTGTTAAAATAAATCAGTGTCGGATGTTCTGCATGTTCTTTCTCATAATTTCTTGCAATGATAAATGAACAGTTTTCTAAAAACTGCAAAGAATAATTACGAGGATTTTTGTTGAGAACTTCAGGATGAAGTTTCATGCAAAGGTCAGTCTCCAGACGTAAACTTGGTTTAGTTCGAAATCAGTAACAAACAGTCCACTGACTTTAGTAGAAACAAAAATTCACCTTATGAATATAAATGCTCCAAAACAAACTCATGATAGGAAACAATCTTTGATTTTATCTGAGTACCAGCTCTGGTTTTTTTTTTCTTTTTTGAGTTTGTCCTCATTTTGTTCCTTACCTTACCATTGTTTTTGTTGTTTGTATGTTCAGATGTGGGTAGTGGTAGAGAAGAGGAAACCTGTTTCTTACTTCTAATTCATCTGTTTCTGAGAAGCCACCTTTTAGCCCTTCCTTTGCTCAGTTTTGGAGCTTTTAAGGAGTCTTGCATTTTAACCCTTTGGGTTTAAAATTTAGCATGGGAAGGATGAAGTAAGAGAGGTTTTCCTTCTTTTCCTCACAACCAGATTGAAGAAAGATCAATTCAAACTAGGATAGTTTGCCTGGGGAAAAGATAAAGCTGTGCTGATTGTTGAGTAGCCTGTGTAATGCATGTAATCAGAGCTGAAAATATGCCATGGGCTAAGCTTCAGAGGGCTGATCAAATTTTAAAGGAAGTGCTAGGGGAGAAAAAGAGCCAAATAGGCTGAGGTACTGAAAATGTATTTCTTCGAAAGCCAAAGTTAATTTTGTTTAAAAGTCTTATGCAGAACACCTGAAGAGCTTAACATCAATCTCTAAAAATTGGTAAAATTAAGTTTCTATGGATTGTTTGAAATCCTTTAGAAGAGAAGCTGAAACCTTCTATTTCCTGTTCCATTAGCCAAGGGCAGAACAGGAAAAAGGTATTTTTCAGAAAACTGTATTTGCCTCCTAAGAATGTATGTTTGCTGCAGAAAGATTACCAACTTCTGTTTGTTTTAGCAAGATTCCATTGTCTAAACTAGCTAATTAACTTGCAGCCAGTTTTGACACCTCCATATTACATTTCACTTGATTTGGCTCCATCTTAGGCCCAGTGCCCTTAAACATCTTCATCTTAAACTACTTGGATGCTGGACTCGAAGGGATACTAAGTAAGTTTGCAAAGATACCAAACTGGAAGAAGCTGTTGATTCCCTCAAGGCAAGAGAGGCCTGCAGTGAGACATCAACAAATTAGAGGGCCAGGAAATCACCAACTGTATGAAGTTCAACAAGGGCAAGTGTTGGATTCTGCACCTGGGATGGGGCAACCCTGGTTGTATGTACAGCCTGGGGAATGAGAAGCTGGAGAGCTGTGCCATTGAAAGGGAGCTGGGGGTCCTGGTTGGTAACAAGCTGAATATGAGTCAGCAGTGCCCTGGCAGCCCGAAGGACCTGGGGGGCATCAGGCAAAGCATCACCAGCCAGTTGAGGGAGGGGATTGTCCCACTCTGCTCTGCACTGGAGAGGCCTCACCTTGAATATTGTGGCAGCTTTGGGCACCACAATATAAAAAAGACATTAAGCTCTTAAGAGAGTGTCCAAAGAAGGACAATGAAGGTAGTGAAGGGCCTTGAGGGGAAGCCATATGAGGAGCAGCTGAGGTCCCTTGGTCTGTTCAGCCTGGAGGAGACTGAGGGGAGACCTTGTTGCAGTTACAACTTCCTCACGAGGGGAAGAGCACGGGCAGGCACTGATCTCTTCTCTGGGGTGGCCAGTGACAGGACCTGAGGGAGTGACCTGAAGCTGTGTCAGGGAAGGTTTAGATTGGATAGTAGGAAAAGGTTTTTCATCCAAAGGGTCATCAAGCACTGGAACAAGTTCCCCAGGGCAGTGGTCACAGCACCAAGCCTACAGAGTTCATGGTGTGTTTGGACAACACTCTCATGGCACATGGTGTGACTCTTGGGGTCTCCTGCGTAAAACCAGGTGTTGGATTTTGATGACCCCCGTAGGTCCCTTCAAATTCAGTATATACTATTATTCTATGATTCTGTGAGACATATCCGTATCACAGAACTCTAACCACAGCCTCCCTTCCTCCCTTTTAGGCTTCTCCCAGAAAAAAATGTGAATGACTTATCCAGTTTAAAAAAATTCTGATTTCACTGCCTCACTACTAATCATTATGAGGTTAAAAAGAAAAACTTGAAGCTAAATCAGTTGCAATATGTACTATCTGAATGTCAGCCATCATGGTACTGCAAAGTTTTGTTGTATGTTTAATCTAGGCCTGAGTATGCTAACTTTGAATTCCAAGAGATTTCAGTACATGCAGTTTTTAAAATACTGGCAATATTGATTTGATTTTTGCACATATGGTTATTTCCATTTACAAATTAAAAATGTCCAATGAAAATCCTACACTGTTATAATTACTATTTATGTAGAACAAGAAACACTTCCACAGGACAAACTATGACCAAGACCTTATCCTAAACCTACTTTATGTTAGTTATAATAATACATGTGAAGTTCTGTAGTGGATCAGGTTATGAGTTCAAACAGTTAAAAGGCTGTATACTTAAAAAAAATCAAAAATCATCTTGAGCACAGAATGTCATTTGCTGGAAAAGTTGCAATTAATGGTATCAGGATGTAATTAAACTCTTTCAGGTGAAAATTTACTCCTATCTGTAAGCAGGCATGAAAAGCTTTAGTGCTCTCTATGTATATATGTATTTATATATGTGTACATATATATATGCATATGTTTGTATAAAGGTGTACATATATGCATCTATCTATCTATCTATCTATCTATCTATCTATCTCTACACACATGTGCTGGAAACAAAGAACAGATGAACTACTGTCACAAGAAAAAAGAGGAAAACTAAATGTTTTGTCTAACTTGAACTATGCGCGTAGGCACATTCTTTGTTACTGACAGGTACTATTACTACTTTTTATTTAACAGGTAAGACATTCACAGTGCAAGATAAGTACAAGCTTTTCTCAAAATACAATCAACCACTTTTCTTACGTTAATGCAGCAAGGGTATGAGCTAGAAGCTTGTCAAGCCTTGCATTACTGAGTCAAAGCTCTGCTGTTCTGAAGGATGTCCAAAGCATTGCTACTGAAGCCATGACACTGAAAGGCCTTGAAAGTAACGAATGTAAATGAGAAGTCCTGAACGTAAGTGTTGATGTCTTTCTGGTACTGGGAGGTACAGAACTGGACACACACTGTAAATATGATGAGTGCTAACTGCTTGAGGATAAGGACTTTTCTCAATCTACTTCTAGCTGTGTTCCTATTGATACATGCCAAAATTGCTCTTTGCTGCCAGGGCTCAAGTTCAGCTTGTTGTCCACCAACATCCCCCTTCCAGCAGAGCTGCTCCTCAGCTGGAAATGCCCCAGCATTTATATTGTGAGAGGTTACTCCTTTCAGAGTGGTAACCTTTTGCACCTTCCTACTTGAATTTTCAGGGATGTCCTAAGACAAGATATTGGACTACAGAATTTTCATTACACATAATACTTAAAAATAGACAGAAAATATTTTATTTCCCACTGTCAAGGACATTTTGTAAAACTGACAATTAAATGCAACTGCTTTTCTTCTTACAAATAAGCGTATTTGTTAAAGAATCTGTTAGAGGTAATAAAAGCAGTATCAACACAGGTAATTTTTACTGATAAAGTGAACAAAATTACATCTTTTGAATTTTTCTGATTAATACTGATTTAATTGCATAACTAAAATACTGCAAAGAAGCTTGTGCAGTATGCTTGATTTTCAGATCATATCTATCATTCTGTGCTTCTCCAGTAATTTGGAGAACTTCCCTTTAGCTGTCTGCACACATTAAGAAAATTCAGCAGACCTTAAAGGTTTTTAATGAAACTGTTGGCTTCACTTATGAAGAATACAAAAAGAAACCATGTCTGAACCTCATGCTCAGTGGAAGTTTTGAGGTAAGGACCATAGAGCAGATTGAGGAACTTTTCTTGCTATTACAGCGACAGTGTGACATCACACAGTTGCATTTTAAAGCAAAAAAACTGCCAAGCCAAGCCAAAACAAAACTGCCTTTAAAAGTGTTCTGATTGCTTGCAAATTTTGCATCTTCCTCTACCACACTCTGCTTCCTGAGAAACGAGCCTGGAGGGGTTCTACTTATGTAAAGGAATGGGTCATAGCCCTGAAACAGGCTAATATGGAGCATGAGTTCTCTACAGAATGAAATGCTGAGACTGATTTATGCAGAGAGATTTTATGCAAACTAATAAAAGTGTAGAAGACATCCTAATTCAGCAGAAACTTTTAGTTTGCTGGGTTTTTTGAAAGAAGATTTTTGCAGGGATGGAATACAAGTAATTTTAGTTATTATAAGAATATTGATAATGTAAACTTCCTTGCACCTTTTCTAAAGCAAACTATCCAATCATTTCTATGCAGCATACACAAGAATACCAGACATAAGTGAAGGAGTAAATAGAACATTAAAAGATAGCAGGGTGTGAAAACAGGATCAAACGTGGCATACAATTAACTGAAAGCCAAACTAATCTTTCAGATTAAGTTTTGAATTATGTATTTTATCATCAAATATGCAGTTATTTATTCTTTCAGTTCCTGTCACAAGTTGGATCTAAAAGAATTATTTATCTTGATTTTATAACTCTGATGAGGAAAATGGCATATTTAGCTAGTTGCTACTAAAGTTAATCTACTTCCTATTAAAAATCTGCTTATTATTTTGAAACCTGTTATTTTGAAGATGCCCTACATGGAATTTGTAAAAGTGATACCTGAAACCCCATTACGTTCTCCTTTGATCAAGTAAGAAGATCAAGTTCCTTGAATTTTCTTATACAAAATATGATTTCCCATAATTCTTGACATTATTCTCTGAACACTTTCCATTTTCCAACACCCTGCTTGAACTGCAGCTTTGAAAACTGAACATGATATGACACTAACTCCATGCCAAATCTGAATGCAAATCTACTCAGCATTGCCTCTTCATAAAAACAAGAACCTCTTTCATGTCTGGGTACCAGCATTTGGTTGGGAACTTCAAGTCTCTTGAATAACTATTGTGATACTCAGTTATACTCAAATAGTAACTGTTAACAAAAACAAGTTGTTATTGTCAGGGCACATGTCCTTTGCTTTTCAAATTATACCTTTCCTTTTCCCATAGAGGAGTACATGAGCAGTGCATGAAGTTTGACACTTCTTGCAATCCACTTTACTGTTCATTACTTGAACAGTTCATTACTGTTCATTACTTGACACTGCACCACAATCTGCACTTAATTTCAAACTTTATCAGTAATGATTTTATGTCCCACTCTAGGCCATAGGTAAAATATATAAATAGTGTATGACAAAGCTGTAATACTTGCAAAATCTTACCTAAATAGAAATTTATGATTTCCAGAAGCTGAAGTTCCCTCTTCCCTCATTCAGCTTCAGGGACTGTATGCAACCTTTCTGAAAATAATGCCTTTTTATTTTCACATAGAGATCTCCAGCATGCAAAGTCAGAATCTAACACTTACTAATTAAAGCTGGTTTTTACTAAGAAACTATTTATTTAGTTTCTTAGTTAGCCTTCTTTAGTTTTATTTGAAACAATAGCACAATTTAAAGATCATGGAACATGCAAAAGGCATGCAAAACTTCAATTCTTTTCTATCCATGTAATAATTTCATATGAGAAGTAAAAAGCCGGAGTCTTGTATGAATATAGATAGATAGAAAGACAGATGTAATGTTTCAAAAATGTTGGGGACAAAATTTTGACCAAGTTTTACATATTATGTGAAGAAATGATTATAGTAACAAAGCAGATTAATTTGTATGCATCATAAAGTCTGTTGTCACAAGTAAAAGGAGGATGTTGAGGTTTCAGCATGGTTTGCGGGGGCACAACAAAGTTACATCTGTTTCTATGCCGGTGTGGTTAGACAAAATAGGTAGAGTGAAGAGACACAACATTATTTGCCTGAAGTGATAATCTCACTGGGTTCTATTCTGAGATTAGTATATCACATATAAATGCTTTGATCTTCTACCTCTAGACTAACTTTCCTTTCAAAATTTTACTGTCTTTAATCAACAAAGAAATAAACCCACCATTATTGACATCAAGTTCTAAAAAATCTGACAAAATATTTACTACCAAATAAATTTATTTATCTGGTCTGTTAGTCACTGTCTAACCTTAACTATACCAGTTTATCTTTTTTTTTTGGTATGCTACTATTGTTTTTTTGATAGATAATTTTTTTATATTTCAAGACCAATCTAGAAACATCATAAGGGACATCAGCAACTGTTATGCAAGTGCAATACTATCATACATACTTGGCTAAAAACTAATAAAGATACATTAAAAATGTAAAAATCATTCTCTGCAGATGGCATTCTCAACAAAGGGGAAAGGTTTGTGGTTCCCTGTAAGTTCCATACTTTAATGGGATTACTTGTATTCTTAGAAAGCATCATATGTTTGAATGCCCTGAAGAATCAAACCAGGGAAAGGAATCTTTAAATATTTTGTGCAATTTTTACCAGGGTAATGCTGAATCCAGAAAAATATACTCCAGAATGAAGGAGCAGTGTTCAGATACGAGTAGGCATTTTGGAATTATTTACTTACTAATAACATTTGTAGGCTAGTAAGACGATGTAGAATGCCCAGTGTTAGCTACCATCTTGGGTAGCTGACAGACTACAAACTTAGATGCTACACTGAGTTCCAAAATCACTGTTTCCTATGTTTAGTCTTCAGAAAACTTTAAACTGTAGATCGGAAGAATGAACACCACTGGAAACTAAAGGTTTGTTAGATATCTTGATTTTTAACTCAGGAGTGTTCTGAAATGTATGCCACAAGTTTCCATGAAAAAACAGTTCCTATCATTTTATAGTTAGCCATCAGCAGACACAAGAGAATGGAAAAGTTGAATAAAACTACATTTAAACACAAACATTCTAATAACAGGAAAACTTATTTGAAATCTATTCCAGAGAAACTTCCAGAAACAACAGTAAGAGTCACACTTGATATAGAAAAAGAAACAACCACTTCAGCCATAAATGAGAGCATTTGGCCAAAACTCTGCTTAATCTGCCAGAGAAGCCAACACCCTCTAGGTGTCATGGTGTGCCATAGGGAGTTTTAGACAAATACCTATCACACATGAAAATCTGCAAAATGTGTCTGGAGAACCCGGTGCCCTTGAATACACCATGTGAATGAAAAAAGGACTTTTGGTCAGTTACTGAAAACAGTGGTGTGGAACTCCCACAATTCTTGCAACCACTGATGTGATGTGCAAAATTGGCAGTGGAACCACAAACGGTGCGCTGCTTGCCCTGCTGCTGCATGTCTGTTCCATGTGTTGTGAGGGGAGGTGACCCTGTGCCACCCACACCACTGGGCTCTGACTGGTGCTGCTGTGGAGGAAGAGCCTGTAGATTCTGAGCACGTGGTAGCAGAGCTGAGACGTAGTGGAATGTTAGAAAGGTGGAATAGCAAAGAGTCATCATCTCCACTGTCAACAGGCACTCCATTTTCATGCCCTTTTGGTAGTTTATCCTGATCTTTGAGAAAGTAGTGTTTTCATTTACTTATTTTATTCACTACAAATTGCAACATGTTTTAAAGGATTAATGGATTACAACATTTAATTAATTAAATAATAAACTATACACATAACAAAAAGTGAACAGATATTTTATTCACTACAAATTGCAACATGTTTTAAAGGATTAATGGATTACAACATTTAATTAATTAAATAATAAACTATACACATAACAAAAAGTGAACAGATATCTTAGTTTACTTAGAAGAACTGGACATATTCTTTTACTAAACCAACTCTTAATGAACACATTATCATCTCTGTTTATGTTCAGAAATGGGTTTAATTTTATTTAGAAATATGATCAGACTATTTGACATGAGCAAACCATAACTTTTCCTGTTGGGGTTTTGGTTTTTTTTTAAACTTAAAGTAACAGAAAATGTGTAATTGCACTGGGATTTTGCTCTCACAACAACAACAAAAAAGCCTTCCTTACAGAAGAGAGGACTGTAAATGTAAAACAACTTTCTTATAAACTTAAGAAAAAAAATATTTCTTAATGTTCGTGAACAACAGTTGATGTTCTTACATGCCTTTTCCCCCCATCAGTAGATTGTGCTTGTTTAGGTCTTTGGAGAAAGCTTTTAATGTCCTGTGAAGAGGAAAAAGAAATGTTAAAAAGTCATTCCATATTGCAGCCTTATCTACCTTAAAACTTGTAATAATAACACCTGTCTTTCCATGGGGTGAACTTTCTAACTAGTGGCTAGAACACTGTGATGAAAAACTAAGTTCAGTGAAGATAAGTTACATGTTCCCCAGCTCACAGAAGTTGTCTTCCAGAAGGGCACTAAAACCAATGCTGTCATTCATCTTAAGCATTAATATCATTGAGATGATGTTTTCATATTATCCACAGAACTTCACTGCCTTCATTGCCTTTACAAAACTGCAATGTGCTAAAATGCAATTCTTAAAGTAAACAGAGATCTTAAACATCAGCTTGAACTTAAATCCCTAAAGAGAGGTATTAAAACTGTTATTTAAACCAGCAAATGCTATTCAGAACATACAAACTCTCCAATAAAGTTTATTTTTTTTTCCACATCATATTTCAGGATGAACTTAAACAATTCCAGGAAACGGATATAAAAGAAAATAAGTGACTAGCATTTGGAAGAATACATACTCTCATTAGTTTAATTTTTTGTTCGGTTCTTTATTGTTCAATTTGTTAATTTTCAGTAATTTTGTATCAGCACAATCTGCTCTACTTCCAATTTCACCAATATTATTCACTCTGTTAGTTGGGTGAATGAGGAATTTTTGGTTTAAAAAAACCCCATGATGAAAGTTCAGTACAGAGATAAATAGCAATTTAACTTAATAGCATTTTCCAATATTGTCAGTAAACATAATTTTTTCCTTCGGAAGAATAATTGCAGTGAGATTTTTTTTAAAATAAATTAGTTTAAATTCAGATACGTAGTCCAATATATATTTTGTGCATATTTTGAAGATACAGTTTTTTTCCAAAAGCAAGAACTGCCTGTATGTAAATGATGCCTCACAAGCTCGCAAAGTATTTCAGAAGTATTTCAGTGAATACCATAGAAATATGTTAAAAGAAAATGTTACCAGTCCTTTGGTTTAGAAGGCAGTACTAACATTTATCTTTGGCTCTAAGAAATACTTCAGTAGGAGAAGGCCCTTTTCAGCACATTGAGTCAGAAAAAGGAGTTTCAATTCCAGTTCCACAATAGTAAATATTAGCAAATGTAATTTTAAATACTGTCAAAACACTGGAGATACAGCGCTCCAACAGATTTGCTTTGTCTGTGTTTAATGAAGCAAACTTACTGTTCCAAAATATATATTTTTTTCTATTTTTTGAATGTAAGAAACAATATTATTCATGTACATTTCACATTCTTAAATTTGTTAGGGATGAAATACATGATAAAAAGAAGCATACCATAGTTCTCCTTTTTAAACTAGGTACTTAAACACTGAGTTAAATTTTCCTTTTCTTGCACACTGAGACATTTAAAACACCACATGAAAAAAGCTTCTCAAGTTTCACAAGTATTACAACTACAGCCTGTGACTAGACAGTAATTCAGCAGTGCTTTTCTCTGTCAAAGTATTGACAATGAACTATATGGTCTAGGTCATAAGATGTACTGAATATAATCTGTATAAACAGATAACTTTGTTAAGTGATAAGTGGAGTTCTGATTGATTGCTGAGTTTGTAATATCAAATGGCTGCTGTGACTATAAACACCTTTTGTAATAATTCCTCAGCATACTAATAAATATTTTTGATAAAGACATGTTAACTACACATTAATAGAAATCCTATTTCAGTGGAATTCCTATTTGAATAAATATCTCAGTTATGTTACTGAAATGATTAACAGAATTAACAACAATAACAGGATAATTAATTTAGAAGGAATAAGATTAATGCAAGGGCCTATGTTGAATATATTCAAAACATAGATGCATAGAGGGGCAGTGTCATATCCTTATCTTCAAAGCCAGAGCTTTTTAAAAAGGACTATTCAGACTTAAAAGCAGGATAAAAAATGTAACATAATTTATCCAACGCATAACATTTTTATATCAATAAGTTGAATTCTAATTATCAAGCTATCTTGTTATTCTTTAGTAACTATACAGAAGTAGTCCACTCAGATTAACAGATACTGCACTACGCGTTACAAATTATTGAAGTAGAATATAACCCAGACTCTTTCTTTAAATTTATTGGAATCAAAATGCAGAGTTACTGAAATGTGGGATTGTTTCTCTAGTTCTGTATCTGTGACAACCTCAGAACAGATGGAACTGTAACAATAAAAAGGCCTGAAGAAGACCCTTTAATTGACCAAGCCGAAGAGACAAACCCATGCAGTGGAAAAGGCAGAATCACTTGTTTCTTCCTCCTGAATCAGTTGGTCTAAGAAAAATATTGTCTCATTTATTATTAAAGGTATCTAAAGAAAATTTAATTTGGAATGTAATGAAGTGTATTCATAAACACACACATATAGGTGTCATCTAAATACTCTCAAGTAACAAATTTCATGTGATAAGCAGAAAAAATATGTGTTGATAATGGCAAACCACTTGAAAGCTCTAGTCAGGACCAGAAAGATTTGTAATCAGGACAGGAAAGACCAGATGAAAAAGTCATAGAATTTCCAAGCTTATTCTTTGTTGACTTCTTACCAAGGCAGAAAGTCAGAAAGTTCATCATCATGTAGGATGTTGACAGCCCACTAGTACACGAACTAAGAAAACAACCCCTTCAAAAGACAAGAATATATCTCATCTTGAAAAAATATTTTTATGAGAGATTGTGTTGGTTAAAATCGAACAGATCACCAAGATCCAAAGGAATCAGGTGTCCTAACTCAAAAAAATTGTAAGCTAGCTAATTTATAGCTTTCAGCAAAACATTTTATTTTCTGATGTTTCTGACTGCATTAGCAGAAACGCTTTAACTTTAGAAACCACACCCTAACTTGCTATATTTATCTTGTAAATGATCTCAAAATAACAGCACTGTGGTTGAATTTCATTTTTTTAGACATCTCTCAGGAGAATTTCTGAAAAAATAATTGTTGGCAAAAATATTGTTTTACTTACTTAGGCAATGTCTTTGAAAGAAAAAAGTTTACCTGTTCCCCAAATATGGAATTGACAGAGGAAGACTTTTCCTGGAGTTCACATATTTTAGATCAGAATTGTAACGTACTTATAACAATGGCCCCTCGGTCTCTATGCCTGTTTGCTAATGAATTTAACACTTTTTTGTAAACTTGAGTTAAGAACTTGTGGTCTGAACTCTTCACCAGTTAGTCAAAACTTGAAAGTAAGACTGAAGTGTTGATTTCATCCATAAAACAGTAGTCTGTTTACAACAATACAGTCAAGGAATAAAATATTCTGGTTTAAGTATAGAAACCGTAGAGTACTATATTTGAGATACAGACAGCATAAGCCCTTTCAAGAGAAAATTTTAAACTATTACAAAGGAGCAGTGAAGCTCTGCATCACCTAACTGCTGAGTCAGGAGATACAGGCATCAAACAAACCTGCCAAATAAGCGGAAAAATGTATTATTTAAGTGCAATGGTATCAACATACAAACAAGATGTGGAAACTCCTTTGGGCTAGAATATGTACATTGAAATCCTCAGCTACTGCCAAGATTCATATACACTATCTTACACCTTTTCTCACAGAGTGACAATTTCTATAACTAACGTGCTCTGAATATATCCTGCAAGCCAGAAATAACATAGGTGATCATGGTAGCTAAAAATTTTTAAATGTGTACTACAGTCTACTGTTTAAGCTATATAACAGTTCCTCCTAAAAGTGGTAAAGGAATATTAGAAATTTTATTAATGTGATTTTTTTTTTTCAGCTCTTGGTTAGTGTGAAGAGATTTAAAAAAAAAAAGGTCACCCTTTAGTCGAGCATATAGATACAGTTTTTCTCAGTTTACACCTTAGTTAAGTGTTATTTTAGGTTGCATCACATTGGGTCTACATGAAGAGGCTGCATTATGTTAAATGTAACAAAGTCAGCGTGAAGAACAAATCTTGAGATGGAACACGTACAGCCAATTCAAGAAATTCTTTGGCCTACAAGAAATTCAGTGAGGATGGAAAAAGAATTCAAATTATAAAACAAAGTACTAATTAAATAAAATGGGTCAGGAAGAAAGAATAGGGAAGGAAAGGGAGGAATGACCTAACATTCCATGGTGTCTATATTCCCAAACTGGCTGAGACGTCAACATAGGCAAGATACCCACTGACAGTTATAATCTTCAATTGTGTTTTCTTTGTCTTGCATTTTCCCTTTCTGTCCCTTCCTATTGTAGCAAATTAATTTTTAACCCTCTCTTTGACTGAGTAAATATATTCTTTTCTTTTTATATCTCATCTTTTACTAACAAAGATTATAAGTGATGGGCACTTCACATTCTACAAGTGATGAATGTAATTAAGAAATAGCAAGTTACTTCTGAAGTATAATTTATCTTATTCAAATTTTGTGTGGGACAGTATGTGCTCCTGGTGGTGATTATCTTAAACATGTGAAGACTGTTTATATTTGAACTCTGGGCATGCAAATGCAAGCATCCTTTCCTCTTATCTCACACTGTTTTCTTAGACCTTGTATATAGTGTATTTTTGCCATAGTTTGATACATTAAATAGGGAGCCCCTGGTGGTCTAGAGGTTAAGGATGCAGCGCTGCCAATGCCAAGACCCGTGTTCGATTCCTGGTTAGGACACTCCCCGGGCAGATGGAGCTCGTTAGCCCTGTAAGGCAATCCATCTACGTCCTGAGGACCTCGCTGCCACCGTCCAAGCTCGCTTGGCCCCGCCAGATGAACCTCAGGATCAAAGGGTGGGCTCAGTTCCGCGCACACTGTGTCTCACCAAAAAAATCCAATGCGCAGGCTGGAAGGTGTAAAGACCTTCCCTGGTTCTTTGTTCGCGAAGACTGGCCATTATATTATAAATAGGGTTATACTCTGGTCCAAACCTGCCTTATGTGCAACTGTTTTAATGCATGTTTAAGCACAGGGAGGCTCTAGAGAATGGCACAGAAGAACACTTAGTCCTTTACTACCTCTGCATGCCCTTTTCTGCAGCCTGGTTGGCCTGGGATGGAACATAGCCTGTCACATATCCTATAGTGTCCTGCAGTATGATCCTGTTGGGAAGATAGCACAGTCTCCTTTCTATGGGTAAGGAGAAAGGCAATGCTAAAAGTGAAAAGGCAGTAGAAAACCTGTATGTAGCTACAGGCCAGCCAGACGTACAAAAAATAGGTCAGAAAGCAACACAGTCTTTCATGGACAAGAAAACAACTGATCTAACCTACAGCTGTACAGCTGATCTATGTTGCAAATTGGCAGCATCTACACTAATTAAATCTACATTTCTAGGATAATGCAAATTTAAATACGTGTGCTTACAAAGTTCTTGGTCCCAAAAAGCAATACTCACATGAAGTTTGTATCCTTGGTAGCTGTTAATCAAGTCTTTCATGAAAGAGTGAATCAAAAGGAGTTCAACTGGAATAGGTGTCAGATCTTCAGTGCCTAATTCTTTGTATATTTTAATGAAATTCTTTAAAATAAAAATAATATGTCATCAATTTATTGTTTAAAAATGGTAGAAAAGCAAAGATCACGGCAGGTATTTATGTAGCACATAATGCAAACCTTCTTTGAGTCAATCCGCCTACCTCATCATAGTTGCCTGTCTTCTCCAAATTGCTAAATTTATGATTATCTTGATCTTTTCTTCCTCCAGTATGAAACACTTTGAATAGAGCTGCCACTGAAATTACTCCTCCACCTGTGTAACTCAAGATTTCTTTTTCATTTTCTATTGAAGTCCTCTCATTTGACAATGGAGAATCCTAAGAAAATTAATGTATAATACTTCAGGGTAAATATTCTGTCAGATCACCTGTTTCAGTTAAACATTCATTAAGGATCAATGGATTACACGTCAAACTTAAGTCCTTGCAAAACAAAAATCATCAACTCAGACAAAATTACCTACTGCACTGTAGGACAGAATAGAACTTAAGAGTCCAGAATATCCATAATGTTGGCATTAGCAGAAATTTAATAAACAGCTTTTTCCAGGAATGTGGCCAACATTCTACAGAAAAAAATAACATTTCTCAGAGCAACAAAACATAAAAATATTTAATAGCTATAAATTACAATACCAAGAACTTTGCCTTTATATAAGGAGTAAACTTGGGGATTCTGGATGTTCACATGAAAAAAAACAGTAGGAATTTTCTAGTCCAAATGAAGAAGTCACTGCAAGAACTCCATTTTGGCCAACAGCTCTCCACAGAAAAAGATGAGATTTTCTGTTTTATGCAGAAAAATTAGAATTTTATTTAAACAAGCAATTAAGTAACTTTGTGGTGATATAAGGGCTGGCCAAAGAAAAAAAAAAAACAAAACAAACCAAAACCAAAACCAAACCTGCTGTAGAGATTTGGGAGCACAAAGATGAGAAAGGATCTCACATAGGTGAACAATGCTTTGACTACATTATGCCACTGTGTAGACTAACAACTAACAACAACAGGAAATTGCATTTAATTGAACAAACCATTTCTCTCTTCATTGGGAGGAAGAGACTGCTGAGATTCAGTCACACTTGTGCTACGTGCCTTAGGCCTTAATACACGTAATTTTGAACACAGGAGGAGCAGAGTCACTTATACAGTCTTTTTAACAGAAAATACTTGAGATTACACAAATATCAACACTGAAGTTTCCTATCTCCCTCTGCATCATTTACATTTAGCTTTCAGACCTACATAGCCAATAACAACACTACCAAGACTTAAAAGTTAAGCATTTTAAGTGAGAGGGTCTTTGCTATGAAATTAAAGAAGTCTCAAGAATATATTTGGCTGAGCTTTTCTTATTAACAGCATGAAAATTTCAGACATATTTCTGTAGGCAGTTACCAATGAGAAGCCATTACAATTATCAGCACTAAAGAAGAAAAAGAGACAAGACAAATGAGGTGCAGCAGTATAAGTTCCTACTTATAAGCCAGCTATGTAAGTTGTATTACAAAACTTCTAAGAGATGAGCAATATAGCTCTTTATATTTGACTGATGAATATTCCATTGATAATACTTGCTAAATTTCCAGTACCTGTAGTGAGAACTGGGATATTTAGATCACAGGTAAACACCTGCAGTGAAACAAAGATTTAGGTTCTTAATTTGGTGCCTCAAACCACTTTGGATGTCTTCAGGATTCTCTGTATTTGATGGAGCTTGGCTCAACCATGACACAATATCAATATACAATTTACTTTTTGTCCCCTTGTGTTTGTGGAACAACTTGCATGAAATGCTGGCTCTAATAAAACCAATGGAGAAAACTAATTTGCTTCAGTGGAATGGGATTTCTTTTGTTCTCTTTTGTCTGTATTCAACATTATTGTTAAAGTGCACAAAGATGGAATACAAGGCATAAGAAGAAAGAAAATATTAAAATTATGTTCTATCAGTCCTGTGATTCTGAGCACCAACTTACAACAGACAATTATAAAGTCAAGGAGAATCCACACAAGCAAGATTTATTTACATTTAATTCTTAGATATTCCTAAGTTTCTAAGAGGGTCCCCAGGTGAATTAGGCACATGAACTGTCTGTATAACACATTGCACACAGGACATAGCACAGATTAACAGAGCCAATGCCTTGACTGGGAAATCAGGCATGAGGAAATCCTCAGTTAGATGGGATATAACTCCTTCTGCTCAGAGATATGTTATGAATTGTAGGTTGAAGGCAAATGTTCACCTTCGCTTGTGACTCAGAGCCTAAAGAAATTGCTGACACTTAGGTGGTAATGACAGCGCAGTTATATCTTACAAAACTTCCAACCAAACAGATCACACACAGCAGAAACTGGTAAAGAGGAGAACAGATTGTGTAGCTTTATATCCAGTGAGATGAGAGTTAGAACTTTCCACTGAAATGTGGGAAACTAAGTTCAGGTCACAGTATCTAAATGGGAGCACTCTGTGCTCTACTTCTTGCTATGAAGTATGAAAAAGAAATTGTCTTATTCAGACTTTCCTGTGTACAAAAACTCTGTTGTGCCAAATAAAACACAGGGAAGTATAACATGTTTTGTCATTTGAAGTGATAATATGTTATTATGCTTATCTATATGATTACACTGTGTAGTAAAATAATGCCCTTTCTTTACTGTTTCCAGAGATCTCAACTGTACTGTAAGTATGGGGTAAATTCTACATGGTTGTGACAGGGCAATGAAACATTTTATTATCTGGAATGGCGTGTTCTTTCCAAGATGTGTTCTTTCCAAGGGGTGTCATAAGTAATTTATGTCTCAAAAAAATGACTTGTACTTCAATAATAAGTAACTGATGCATGCAGTGCACTAATTGCAGTTTTGAGACTTTAAAAATAAAAACATGCTCCAGAAGTACCAAAAATGTTCAAAAGACCAGTTTCATTTGATTTGAGAACGTATTCATCATGGCTGTGAAAATAATATAAAAATTATTTTGTATGAAATTAATTATTATTAATCCTTCTGGTTTACAGGTAAAACTAAACACTTGAAAATAATAACAATGGTGTATCTACTTCTAAATACCCCAAAGAAACACAGTGGAAAATATAGCAAGATCAGCAATAATATCAGGTTTCGCATCCATAGATAACACTACAGTCACACTACAGTCTAATTCCTGGGGACTGACTGGTGGTCTAAGACTAGGTTAAAGAATTACCTTACATTCATATGTACCAGTAAATATCTTAAACTTTCACTATTACTTGGCAGGCAAATTTCCAGACTTTTGGAAGGATACTTCTGAGTATTATTACCAAAGTCAGTAAAACTATTTGCAGAGTTCACATGAAGTCAATGAGATTTCTTGTAAGGACTGGAGATATCCAGGGTAAGCAAATATACAGAAATATAGTTAATTTACAATTTGAAAGCACTACTACTTTCTCTAGTAATTTACTGTAATACTTTACCGCACATGGATGAGAGGCTTCCTTTTTTCTGTGAACGTATGTTCCAGTAGCAACGCTAAGTGCTCTGTATACACCTTCAACTGGATCAGAGTGGGAGGCAAAATAAAGCAGCATCTCAGTGTAGTCGAGCAGAGCAGGATCTTTCCTGGTATCAGCAAATAAACTGAAGAAAAACTATAAAAGGACAAAAATATGTAAACCAATTTCCACTAGTGGAATTTAATGGAATATAAATCAAGGACTGTAGAGAAAAGGATGAAATACAATAATTACTGTGAATAAGAGATATTGTGTTTAAAAGCATGTTAATGCTGTGTAAATCCAGATAAATCATGTGTTTAAGTAATTCAAGGAAAGAGAAATTGAATTTCACAGAACATAGAGAAATTTGTATCATGACAAACATGTTCAAGGCATTTCATTTTTTGTATTCAGATCACACTATCAGCTCCCTCTTTCATGGAAACATCTACGAGCTTAGATGCAGTGACCATTCTTTACAAAGCTGCTTACTGTGTAGCAAAATTAATGTTGTTCAATGAAGAGCACAAATAATTAATTCTGAGTAAACTACTTTAGATTTAGAATACAGTAGGACAATTCTTAGATTCCTTTCTACATTATTCTGAAGCACCACCTGACCTCAAAAAACACTGAAACATTGAAGCAATTACGGGAAAAAAAAAGACAAAAGAAACTTATGTATGAGACCTCTCAGGTTTGAACAGTGGTCTCTTCAAAATACCTATGTTTTTAGTTACCTTTATGAGGCGTTTTAGCCTATCTAAAGACATAGACTGTGTGCAACTTTTTGTTATGCTTGGATCTTCATTTCCATTAAACCATAAGCCAATCTGCTTTAAAAAAAAAAAAGTTTGTTAATTTTCACACATTAAAATAAGGTGATCTTTATTTTCTAACTGTTCAGCAGACAGATTACTAAGAGCTTAATTCCTGGACTTAATCAAACTGAATTTATTATTAATATACATTAACATAGAATAACTAAGTAGTTGTTCGTACTTTATAACAGATACTTGAGAAATTACTGAAAATTAGGTAGAAGTGAATTTATACTCTTGAAAATACATAGTTGTAAACTACATGGTTGAAGAAGCAAAATGTGGAGTTTCTATGCATGTTCTGGTTTCTTCTTTTTAGGATACCATTTACTACCTCCATAGCTTTTGTAAGTGAAAATTTAATGAGCAGAATTTTTCTAAAAGAAGAAAAATGTATTCTTAATACTCCATGAAACTTGCTCAAAAATCATGTAGTAATTCAAATAGAAGCTATCTTCTGAGAAAAGATCAAAGAATTTTATAATTTTCCAGGAACTCAAGGTCTGAAAAACAATCTTAATTGGAGGAAATAATAATGGGGAAAAAAATCTAGAAATATTTCAATTAAGTACAGCTGATGAGTTGAAACTAAAATCCTTATTTATGCTTGAGCAAGTTTTTTTTAATCTTAGTGTCAAATAAGCTAATAGTCATCAAAGTGCACACAGAATGATTTCTTTAAAACAGAAATTATTTTTACTTTAAATTAATGGTGAAACTAGGAAATGGAAGTAAAAAGTAAGCTTGATTTGTGGAAATATGGACATTTCCTGAAAACACTTTTTACCAGAAAGCACCCTTAAACCCAAAAAACATTTAAAACTCAGACTGAGTTTCTGAATGTGAATAAACCCAACAATACATCATTCAATTTAGAGAGTTTAACAAAATAAAACACGATTCAAAAGAGAAAAGAATTATAACCTGCATATAGTATTCCTTTGTAACAAAGCCTGATCCGGCTTCATCAACAGCCTTGAAGCTACGCAGTGTTTTGAGGAGTTGTGTCACAGATGGCACTGGCCAAGGTTGTGCTGCTGCTACCAAGAATCTGCGCCAGTCAGTAAATTCTGCATTCACTGAGAATGCAGATGCCAGATTTTGAAACTATAAAACCAGAATGATAAATATTGTCAAATACGCATGCATAAACATACAAACATACTCTTTCAATATCCTGTGTATCCTTGGGTCTTTTCCTGGCTAGGAAGGACAAGGTCCTGCAGAGAGACATCACAGTTATACAAAGGGTATGTATCAGTAAAAAAACAGGTCACAGGCCACTGTGTGTCAGCTGGTCTGTGCAGTTGATATCCCTCTAAAGAAATGCTCTGACTCCCCAAATAGGGCTCTGTATCTAAACTGCCTATGAGATATCATCCTGAAACCCTGAGCCATGAGTCCTGTTGCCTTGAGCACTAAGAATTGAACTGACAATTTAGCAGCATGAGCACAAAGTCTAGCAAATCCTCAGTCCTGTTGTTCACCATGTGGCTCTGACCATTTCTCTGCTCCAGCATTATCTTCAGTTAGAAAAAACTAGTGGTAGAAAAAGCGGTACCAACGAAGACATTGCATGTGCATAGCAGAGCTGGTTACAGGGAGAAACAAACAGGAGAACATTCCTAAAATCTCCTAAGGCAGCATTACAAGGACTGTGTTTGAGAATCCAAATTTGTCCAGTTCATTTCTGCACCACTGGTATGGTGAAACCCTACTATGCACCTCTACACAACTCTCTACCCCACATCCAGATTTCCTTGTCGAGGGAAGTGTCTGGGTTGCTCCAGACCAGAGTTTAAGAAGAAGGTGTTCACAGGAAGAAGGTCCTGGGGCAGCACAGTGAGACAATTTGGTGACATTGTAGATGTCATCTGTGCTGGTACTGGCTGGAACACTGCTGTTTATTATTAATTTAAAATTTATTGAGATTCTGGTAAGTCACACCAGAATGGTGAAATGGCGAGTTAAGTTCAGAATAGCTTGTGCAAAATAAATGTATACCTTAGCTTACGCTTTGTGCATTACCTTTCGTAAATAAATTCTTGCTTTCATTATAAATTTAAAAGTCTCATTTTAAAATGGCACTTTTAAAGAAAGAAAAGTCTGTTATTAAAATAAAAATAGCATTTATAAGCACTAAAAGTTCTCAAAGAACACAGCATATGGGATACATGTACATATGGTCTATTAATAGACAGTATTTGACTTGTAGTTTTCCCCAAACAATTAATTTGCCATGCTAAGATTAGATCTTTATATACTGATGAAGACAGCTCTGGCTAGTTTTCACTAAACTCAATGGAAATACATCACGGAGAAACTTTAAATGTTTTACTCATGCAGTTCATCTGTGTGAAGAACATACAAATGAAGCTGTTTCCCACATGTGAAATACAGTAAAAATATAAATTTGAATCATGGTTTATGTCAGAAATAATTATCAAAACATGCTAAAACAAGGAAACAATTTTATTCAATAGACCTACCAGTAACATTTGAAGGTAAAATTGATGAGACAATTCAGCACAGAAGATTTGGAAAGACCGAATTCTAATTTTTCATGTCCCTAAACCTGAAAATCTTAGATAAGTAAGTTTAAGGTCATATAGCTCCAGATTTTAATTTCCTGTGCTGGGATGAATAACATTAACAGTGTTATTTTAGCTCCTGGAAATGAATTTTCAATAGTGTCTAAAAAACCCCATGATCTGAAAATTTTAAATAAATATATTGCTGAAAAAAGCATTTTGTTTCTGGCCCAGTGGCTTCCAGAATCCTCTAGTGAAACAAAAGAATTTTAAGGAAAAATTGATAATGTCCTATAATAGCTATAATCTTGGTTTTATCTTAACAAGAACAATGCTGCATCAATTGGGCAATATTGCACAAACAAATACTCCAGTTGAAAACAGGGGTTAACTTACATCTGGAAGTTTTAAATTCATCCATTGCTCAGGAAGGTAATTTTCTCCACGATTCAAATTAATCAAGCGACTAAAAATGTCAATAAATACTTTCTTTCGTATAAAACCTAATAGAAAAGTCAATATCAAAAAAAATATATTTAGCATTTTAAATAGAATTCTTCTGTTAAAGGAAATCTGTTTTTTAATTTTAATAGCAATGTGGGAAACTTATTTGTTTTGCTGTTATGCACTATTGATAATGTTAATATTTTCAAATCCAAACATAAGATTTCCTCATTAAAATAAATCATGTGTGGCCTATCTAACAGCAAAATATCAAGTATTCTAATGCACTGCATTTCTTCTGATACTTGTTCTGATCTGCACTGAGATCACTAATCCATCCTCAAACAGTCTATGCTGACAGTTAATGAGCAATTCAAAAATACCAATCACACGATTTTGTGTACTGAATACCTACCAACCTTTTCCCCCACTGTGCTCTATTTTAATCAATTATAAGTCTATTTCCACACTTTAAAGCAAACATAAGTTAGAGAACAGGATAAGAAACACAGACCATTGTCTGTTGAAATTTGAAACAAAACTGATCTGTTTAAAAAGCTTTTCAGAACTGAGTTGCGGGAGTTAAAAATAGCTCCATTAATTTTATTTTACAGAAATCATTAGACAGGTAAGTCCAGTAAGTCTTATTTGTTTTTTAAATAGGCATGGATTTGCTTATGAGCAAGCAAACTTCAAACGTCATACACAGCATTAAAATGCAAAATTATGTATGTTAAATTTAATAGACAGATAAGAGCCTTTTCTTCCAGAAACAGACTGGGCTAGCTCAGTGAGGATTCACTGCAAAACCTCTTCATTAACAAAAAAACCTGTAAAATAAGTTTCAAATTATTTAAATTTTGAGAGACAAAACTGATTTCGTTAGGTTATGATCACTTTCAGAGCATCAAAATGGGAAGTCTTAAGATTAACCTTAAAAGCACGTACAATCAGTGAAATACTGGTAAGACTTACTTTTTTTTTTCTTTTTCCAGTTGAAATTCTTGTCGTTTTGAAAAAGCACAGCGGTGCACATTTTAAGGCTAAGAAATATTTTCATTGGAAGCGAAACAGTGGAGTGAAACGTAACTTTATGAAAAAAGATGTAAGTGGTAGAAAAATTAAGAATGTCTTTGAATATTAATTTCACGTCAGTATTCAAAATCTAGTAGCCAATTTGAATTAATAGTCTACAGTCTCCGTTTACCTCCAAGCACGAAACACAGGATTAATGCCCTCAGCACATCTTAGTACAGCAGAGGAATCCTACACATATATAAGCTTGGAGAGAGGAGGAAAAAACCAGATTTGTGAAGCTTAAATTCTATTGGGACAGGAAGAAGGAAGGACTTGAAGCTATATATCCTACCATAAATTTCAACATGAAAGCAAAAGCTGGGGAAAAAGTACTGGCAGAGTGGTAACAGTACTCTGATGTCACCTTGTGAAAGTGCTTGAGTTATCACATTGAGAAAGAACACCCAAAAATCCATGTGATAAAACATTTGCTGTTTACTGAAGCACTCTAGCTTGCTGATATAATAATTTTAAGGTAATCACAAATTTATTTTCTGATAAAAACTTCATGCGACAAGAATCAGATCATTTTCATATGGTACAATAAAGTCTGCATAACAGAAGCATCATTACTGGGTGACTTCATAGGTAATTCAATAAACCAGGTAACATTTTAGTGGTTCACGGGGAGAATAGTCTATGGCCCGTGATGGAGCTGGTGTACATTTCATATAAAAAACAACAGGAAAAAGTTTTACATCTTCTTTCAGTCTTATTTTTTTCCTAGTGCTTTACCGTGAAGAGACCAGCTACGATAATTTTTATTGCATTTTTTGCTGGAATTTGCCTTTCCACATCTGATCACTGGCAATCTAATTTTTCTCACGTTATGTTCAAAACAGTTCAACTCCTAATACAATTTCCCTGTAAGGCAATAAAGAATGTAGCTCCCGTATTTCCTATGAGTTTATGGCTTCCTGAAATGAAATTTAATTTTGTTTTTCCGCAAAAAATTCTAAAAGGATACTAAGATTATCATCTAATTTTTTTTATGAGGCTACATGACTTTAGAAACATATGTAAAAAGTATTTGAGGGGCAAGGAATTTCAAGAACTTGCATCAAAACTAATGTCTGAAATGGGACTGCAATCTAAAATGTTACTCACAGTCATAGAACTTGGACTGGATTATAGAAAATGCTAGAATGCAGTTTTCAGGTAAATATTTCAGCAAACATGAATTACTCTGAGATATTTAAGCTCTGCCAGGTGATCTACCCACTTTTCTTCCTGTGTGGTAAATGTGAAGAAACACATCCTCTTTCATTCAGAGTTAAGCAATTTTCTATCTATTAATACAGAATTGCTGATGTGCTGTTGGGCAATTCCTTTTACTTTATTACCTCCTCCTGAAACATCTGATTTGGGATAATTCCAAAGTTCTAATAGTTCAAAACTTTCAAACGGACTGTGATTTAATTCCTCCTACTGACACATGTAGGAGGAATGATGAGGAAGTCTGAGAGAGACAGAGGAAATCCCTCACAAACATGTAAAAAAAAAGATAAGAAATACTTTCCTCACTTTGTTTTCAGGTATTTTATCTGGATTTAATGTACTTGGGTATATATTACAGAGCACGGAATCATCTTTGAATATCTGTCTATAATCCGAGACGAAAAGGTGATTCACCATTTTAGTTCAAGAGCTGCTAATGCTTTATAATCATGGAGAGATGCTGAGAGTGGGCAGCTACACAGATGGTACCGAGAAAAGAATACCAGTGTCTGCAAGTGGTAAAAGTAAATAATGTCTTCTAGGAAAAAACAAGGAAAACAATTCCCAGAATTGCCTTTGTCCACCTAGCAGAACTCGTTTCAAAACAGGTATGCTCTTCATAAAATCTTTTTGCTAAGTCCAAAATAAAAGAAACCAAACCCAGTAAGTTTTAGTTGAATTATGTAGGAGACTGAACAGAAAATTGAATGATTAAATGTCTAGAAACATTTTTAATTAGAAGAGGTAGAAAGCATCTTGGAAAAAGAATTGATATTCATGAAGATTTTGAAAAACTCAAGAGATGATCAAGATCAGCAAGTAAATTTCACCAGAAACAGATCAAAGTACTTTGAGGAGACAGACTGACAAATGGATGCATTTATTATACTACAGATAAAACAATTCAGGAAGGAATTTTAAGCTTATTAGAGAACAGGATTAGAATTCAAAGTGAGCTTTACAAATTGGAGATACAGTCTAGAATAAAAGGACACTATCCAATAAGGATGAATGTCAAGTGTCCCACTGGGCTGAAATAATGAACTGCATAAATGTCACAATGGAAATCTTACTGATAAAGCAAAATTTGTACAGAAAAGTCTCTAGGGAATACAGTAGATCACAATATTACCAGCAAGTACACATGAAGACATTGGAAATAATCCTTTCTTTTTCTTTCTTTCTTTTTTTTTTTCTCTTAGACATTAAAGCTTCTGCTAGAATGTAATTTTGGAATTTGCAGATCTAGAAGGATGTACATAAACTAAAGACTGCCCAGAAGAAAACAGCAAGAATCATCACATGGATGAAAGGAAGATTATGAAAAAACATTCCCCCCCTGTATCACCAAAGTGACTTCAGCATTATAGATACTAAATATACTTTCAGCTTTTATTTCTTTTTTTTTTTTTTTGGTTTTCAGGTATTGGACATTCTGGGAACACATTTTCAACACATTTTTCTAATCTCAACATAGTTAAAAACATCCCATTTCAAAACTTTGAGGGGAAAAAATGCTCTCAAAATTATGTGATTTAAGAGAAAACCCTTAGCATCAGCAATTCTACAAATCTAATAAAGTACCTGGTATAATATATACCCTATTTCTTCTTAGGCAAAATATATCTAAACTTTTTTTTTTTTTGTCTGAGAAATCACAGACTAACATATTTCAATGATGGATCTTCTAAATCCACTGTATAGTGCACAGTACTGATCCTTTTTCTGATCCCTTTTCTGATCCCTGCAGATTAACTCTTCTTGAATTGGCTAAAATCCCTTCATGAGGCATTCATTCAAAAACTACTTCATTTCTGACGTACTATTTAGACCTAGATATATGCACAACACCAAAAAAGAGACTATATATATGCGTGTGTATATGTGCATGTGTGTAGTGTAGCATAACACAGTACAGGGTAGAGTTACATGATACAGTATGATATGGAATGGTATTGTGCATCTTCTGCTATTATTACACACATTTTACTGTGAAAGAGTTGATCTTCAGATTCAGAAAATGGGTTGATTTAAAGGTGAATGACCTCACATTCATTTCTCCCAAATTATCTCTAGTACATCTTCATTACTGTTGGAAGAACTAAGTGGGGTCATTAATAATTTAATTTTAGCTATCCTTTGCTATTTCTTTGATGGTAAAAATATATTCTGCTGGTATGCTTTACCTTGATTGGAAATTATCAAGTAGAAAGTTGCATTTGGAATATGCAGATTTATGAAAATATGAAATCAGATACTTCACTGAACTATACGTATTCTCAGCTCCAAGATAAAAAATCAAGATACAGCATTCCTATTACATCTTTCAAAAATATTTTTACAGGGGAGAAAGAAAAGTAGTTCAAGCTGTGAAGTATATTGGTCATATCCTGGCTGTAAGAGTACTTGTTATGGGAGGATTGATTTTTTATGTGCAATTAATAATCAGCAATGGATCTGTTCTGCCTCTGTAGTGGTCTTCGAAGGATAAGTCTGAGAAAAACTGAGAAAGGTTATGTTAAAACTTATCTGGTTTGTAAATTTCATCAAGGTCTGCAAGGGGAGAACCAGATTTAGCCATAGCATGGTATGTTCTAAAAATATTTTCTACTGTCCCTAATGTTAAGGAGTTCATGCTCTTCAACATCTGCTCAGCAGAAGCTCTGTCTGGTGAAGCAGTACTGGCCGCTTCCATGCAGGTAGCCCAGGCATGAGCTTCGCTACTCTGGTGCGTGTTTATAAATTCAAGTTTGAAATCATCAGTGCCAGAACAAAAATTATGAATGTTTTCCCCCAAATCCACATTATGTTTACGACATGGTACACAAAACATTATTCCCCTTTCATCATCATATTTTAACCAGGAGTATTTTGTTAACCATATTTTTGGAAATTGGCGATTCCTCTTTCCTTTCTGATGTTCCAAATCTTTCTTCTCTTTCCCTCCGTCACCAGCTTCTCTCTTGCCAGAAGAATTACTCTTGCTTTTAAATTGCTTCATTGCTCTTATGGCTATAATTTAAAAAGAAACAACTAAATATATAATAGTCATTATTCCATAAAATATCAATTGTATATTTTCTTTTTTTGGTCCATATTTTTCTTGGTCATTTGGGACTAGACTTTGAAATAAACAGCCATGAAGGAGAACAAGGAAACAGAGATCTACCCTTAAATCATTCGGAGACTATCTAGGATTCTTGTAAGAAAAGGTCAGTTTTGACTTCAATTTCCTTTTGACTATTATGGGTTTGACAGAATGTGCAATCAGTGAAAGGCAGCAGCATCAATATTTTGGAAACAGAGAAAAGCAGAGTTAGGAACTGGAATTAAGAAGGGTCTTCAAGGCAAAATCTCTCCAGAAGATACCACTGAAGTCACAAACCTATTACAATGCCCATCATACCTGATATAAGCAGAAAAGTTAACTCGGAGCAAGTCTGTAAATACATAATCAAAAACCTAACAAAAATGCATAAGATGCTCTAGGGCATACGTAGCTGACATGATTCCCTTAAAATGTATTTATATGCAGAATGATTTTATTACTGCTTTCAGAACAAGGAACTGTATAAGCCTCTCATTTTGTTCTCAAAATTAAAACAGTCTTAAAACATTGAGATTGTTCTCAATATCTCCCTAATTTTCTGAAGACAGTTGTGCTTGTTTTTTGTAGGAGAAAACACCATAAGCTGAAATTTTTGAAAGTTTTATCTCTAGAGATTATGAATCTCCCACTTTTGGCCAGTAATTTAATGATTCTTTCAGTATATTGCTGCCAGAAAGTTAGGACTTTAAAAGAAAACAACCAAATAATGATGAGAAATTACATGCAGAATGGAAGCAAGACAACTAGAAATCTATTTATTCACTGAGAAACAGCAAAAGTAAAACCCTGAGCAAGTGACCTAAACTCAGTCTGACTCCCCATCCTCCTTATTGTGATGTGTACGTCAAGAGGCAAAATTTATGATTACATTAAGCTATTCATAGAAAGAAATGCCATTCCTGGTGCCTTAAAAGGTCTGAGGAAAATGAGTTTTGGAATGCCACTTTTTTCTATTTTACAGGAAGAAGCAAATTTTTATATATATTATACAATTTGTGAGAACTCTCTGTTCCCCTTGTCGTAAAAAATGACAGTTTGATTGTTCCATTCTATTCTAAGCACTCTGAAAGGCCATAGTATTAAAAAAGGTTAGGAACATGCAGTTTAAATACATTTGAGTGATCCTTTTAGGGAACTCTAAAACTGAAGTAGCAGTTGTGGTCCACATGGACAGTAAAACCAACTAGATCACAGAAGGCTTTTCTGATGTGCCCAGGTACCATACCCAGGACCAAAAAGATGGGGTCATACAGTGAAATATAGTAAGAATTTAAATCTTCCCTACCATTAGGCAGCCACAAAAACACAAGAGTAGATGAAAAAGAGGTGGAGAGATGGATTAATGGATCTGCAACTTCAGAAGTCAAAGGGTGGAAGGGACAAAATCATTGTAACAACTTTATAGTGCCTACTGCTTCTTGATGGGCATGGGCACCTGTAGAAATTTCCTGGTGCTTAGAAAAATAAGGGTCAGAATAGACCTGTGATCCACTGCCAGGGATAATATTCTCTGTAAGACAGACCTTCAATGTTACCAATATTTTTCAATTTCCATGTAGGAACTAGGAACATAGGAAAAGGTGGGATCAGTTTCAGTAGTACTTTGGAAAGAACACAGGATACAAAAGGAAGCCAACCTACTTATGAGGCACCCTCTTTTTCACATAAAGTTTGTCGTCAATGAAATCAAGAAGAAGGAAAAGCTACACAAGGTAAAACTTTTTCATTAAAAACTTTTTAAAAGGTAGTATCATTCCCTGATACACAAGGTGACATTAGAAAGCCTTTAATGTTTCAAAAAGCAGTGCAGAAACATCATAAACAAATGCAAATTATAATTAATGAAGAAATTGAGATTATGACCACAAATGAAATTGAAAACAGAAAATTAAACATCCAAAAAGGAGCACTAAGAATGACAGTAACGCAGGAATACATGAGATTTGTACTATGTGAACCAGGACTGTGACATTTAACCAAAGAGCAATCACCATGCCTCAGTTGTAAGGCACAGATATATAAAAGAGATTTTTTTAATAACGCACCAATCAGCAGAATATTTTCATACAGGTACTGTATGAAAATATTTCCCTAAACTGAGGAATTAGTAAATCTCTATTAAAGACTCAGATTATAAATTTACACAGGCAAAAAACCTATACTAGAGATGAGAATTATGTTAACATTATTCTCTTTTCATAAAATTTTACCAGAATATTTGAACACATTTATATTCCCCTCCATTTTCACTGAAAAAAAATATTTCCATAGTAATTTCAAGAGGTTTGGATGACGATCCCTGCAAGTTACGCACCAGACTCTGTAGCATGAGTGAAGCAAACCCTGAGGATGAATTATATTCCTCTAACTTCAATAGTGTAACAGGTAATTATATGGCATACTTCCATCCTTAGATGAAAAAAACAGGGGTTTCAAATACATTATTCTTTCCACCCAAGTTATTGAAAGACTCATCAGTCCTTGAAGGTGAATTTCACTGTAAATATTTACATCATTTATTTTCTAATTATTACTGATTCTGCTATACGTCCAATCTTCATTAAATACCAAGAATTGGGATTTTAAATGTAGAATCACAGAGAGTAAGATATTTCTGTTGCTGCACAGATGCAATGAGGGGTGAGGTCCTCTGCTGTGCTAACTGAAATCTTAAAATTGGGTATATATGCATTCAAATGCACAGAAACATATACAACCATGTTAAATATGTTCCATACAAGTAATTAGATACACAGATTTATAAACATAAGCAAACAGTCGCAAATTTCTGAAATTAAGTAACATACATGATTTGGTCTGAGATATAACAGCAGCTGCAAATGGAACTTTCAGTAGAATTACCAGGTTTTCACCTAGTAAAAGACACTTCCTCTTTCTATAAACTTAACCTTTTTATTTTCAAGTTTCCAAAAAGTACACTGAAAATAGTCTTGAAAAAATGTAAGTTAGAGATGGTGAACCTATTTCTATGCTCACATAAGAACTTCAATCCCTATATACATCAAAGTCAGGTCACAGTGATTACTAATGTAAGATCTCGAATTGCTTCTAGAGTGTTTGGGAAGAGAAAGTATAATCCATAGACATTATCCAGGGTCAGCATAAAATTCTGATTAAAAAAAATTCTATTAAAAAGGTAAAAATTCAGCTGAATTACATGAACACTTTAATATATCTGTTTGTTCCAAATCTAGAGACACAGTAACATTCAACTGACAAGTCTACAATATGAAAAAAATAGCAATACAATTTGGTTATAGGCTATTCTTTATGTTCACATCTTAGCAGACTACTTAATAATTTTATAAATATATTAAACTTTTTGTTATTTGATATAGAAATTTTTTTAAACATGACTGAAGTTTATTTCTGATGAATAATGGCTTCTATATTTAAATTGGAATGGTTCATAAAGATCATGACTATGAAAAACATAATAAAATTTAAAATTCCCCTGTGCGATTCAGTTATAAGACGGAGAACATAGTCTGGGAGAGAATCCAATTTGATCTGCTTGGTAATGCAAAGCCATAACCAAACTGCATTTTCTGAAGCACCTTTAGAGGAGAACTAAGGCATTCCGTATGTGTGCTAATTGCAGTGACAAGAGATGTGGTCATAAGAAGAACATAGTGCTGAAGGGAATCAAAGGGGATGAGACTTGATAGATAGTTAGTTTAATTTTGTTGATAAGAAGAGCACACATCCAAAGAGACTGCAGAAGAGAAAATAAAAAAAGTGTTAGTAGCTCCACATGCCACAGCTTTTCCTATAAAAAAGCATTCCTGATGTAATATATTGGAGCCCTGTCAACAGCTTGAACAAAAGAGTTAGTGAAATTTTCAATTACTGCAGAGCCGTGTCGAGTCTGGGTAATGGCATGTGGAATAGTAAAAAAAATAAATTAAATATTTCCTTATCAAATGAAAGACTGTCAGTAGGTAGGAAGGTCCGGCATAAACTGGGTTTTTTTTTGTCCATCGGTGCTTAGAATGGAGAGTAATGTGCTTCCATGGAGAACCAAGTGTGCAGGATAGTACAAAGTTGTCTGTGATGAATCGGCAGTTCTTTAAAACTTTATATTCCTAGGAAACACAAAACTGTTTATAATTTTTATAAAGAATTCTTTTGCGAATATCAAAATTCTTTTAAGTATATTGGTACTCACACTTCTAGCTTTAATTTTAGCAATTTGTTAAACATATCTTGAAAAGACTTCCCTCTGACATTTACCAAATATCCAGTAAGAAACCTGTTTACATGTTCACTTCTTCCATCATAATCACCCCTTCTTTGTTACTCTTTATTTGTTTGCTTTCTAAGTAAAAAATCCACTTAACGTAATCTCCATAATGCTTTAGAAAAGCCTAATATTCAATTCTGAGAACCACTTTAGGAGTTTTGCTATTCACACACCACAAGGAGATTGGCAGGTTTATTCTATTTAGACTTGCCTAATAGCCTATACCTCATATCCTTGTTTGTCTGGACTTCCATTAAACGCTGAGAGATCTGCTCGGCAGGGTAAGAATAAGAAAAAATTAGGATGTTTGGCAGCAAATCTATATCAGTTAAGAGGTTCTCCAAGGCGGGGATTTGTTTGCTACCTTTTTGTATCTGCTTTAGAGCTGCTGGTCAACAATTTCGCTGCCAAGGTGCTGGGTGCTTTAGTGTTTTCCCCTCTTTTGTTCAGTGAGGGACTTACTACTAATGAGGCACGTATTTTCTGTGGAGCATTCTATTGAACAAGGGGAGGCAGAAGGATATGAAAAATTTTCCCGATGTTTTAGGAAAGGAAGGAGTTTATAATGAAGGGGAGTGATGGCCTTAGCAAATGTAGGGCATGATTTATGCTGTCTTAAAATAAGAAAAAGAATGGGAAGACGTAATTTAAAGATGACTTGCACAGCTTGTTATTTTCATCCTAATTCAGCTATCCAAAAAAGGTAAATATCTTGACTTAATAGCCACCAGACAGTAGAAGAAAGCTTTGCTTGTTTTTGGAACCTTATTTTAAACAATAATTCTCTCCCATTGTCCCAGAGAATGTACACCATCATTCCTTTACTGTCTCATGACTACTAAGTCAATATATTTCATTTTTTGGGTACCATGCAAGTCACCTTGGGTTATTTTAGAGAATATAATATTATCAAAATGACAAATACTGTAAAAGATAAAGATTTCAATTGTTTTCTTGCTAATTATTACAAGTATACAAGCAAGTTCTGTCTTGAAATTTGTAACAGACAAAATTTTTTAGTTTTAAATATCTTAAAGAATGAGTGACTTGAAAACAAAAAAACCCTTTTTAAGTGAAAGGACCAGTCATACTGGTATCTGTGCTCCACCTCTCTGGCACTATCTAATGATTACAAACACACAGATTTTTGTTTCATGTGTCATAACATATGCAATACTATCTGCAAAATTAGTCTCTACAGAAGATTTTGAAATGCTTACACACACATCCACATTCCTCCACTACCGATGAGATGATATGCATCTCTCTAAAGGAAAATTGTAAACATCTTTCTGCCTAAAATGGCTTCTTATGCAAAAGGAAACTGGAATTGCTCTATAAATATTCATAAAAGCTTTTCTGAATAAAGAATTAAATTCAACATCATAGTGCCTTTGTGGCCCTATTACATTGGAGGAGTCAGATTTAAAATTGCAAGCAGTTGTTCACATATTGTATTTTGCAATTTTAAGGGCAATCATACCAAAATTATAATATGGAACACTGGTAGTAATGAAACACTCTGCAAATGTGTGTTTAACTACTTTCCATCTCAGTTTAAAACTGCCTTACCTAAATTATTTTGTAACATCTGTACAGTCGTAGGAAGTTTTGTAATAAGTCTTTTCAAGCATCCTAAGCCTAAGGTTCCCATAATTAACAGGTAGGCATACATTAAATGCACATTCAAAGGAAAAGAAAAATTACATAGCTGAGTTAACAAATTACATTATCTGAGTTAACATTCAAAACAACAGGCACACATTGACCGGAAGAATATAATGGTTAATAGTTATAATAGTTTCATGAAAATACTGATTTCTTTAAAATTGTGTTTTAAAATAATGTAGCGTCAGTGTTCACTGAGCTCTCATTTAGTAAAGAAGTTACAGACTTGAATGTTTAGCAAGCACGAAACGTACTCCTCTAAAAACATATTACAGAGAGAGCTGTTAGAGGAATATTAAATATTCTGTGGATACAAAGCCCACAGCAAAGCCATTAGAAGCTTTCAAGTGGTCTGGTATTTCACATTTTCAATATTCTGCACTACGACTTTCCTATGTAGCAGGATCTTTAGCATAATCTTCATCACTATGTTTAGTCATACTAATGGTTAGTAGCTCCCAGACAGTTATTCGAGATTTTAAGTAACTAACAGTCCTTAAGGAGTTAAAAGGAAAAAAATTTCCTACCTTTAGGTGCCACCTGTAGAAACTGCTTATGAAGCTTAGTGAGTTGTGAAATAGTTAGAGTACTTCCAGAGGTTTTTATGCGCGGAACTTGTGGTGCGGGAACAGGACTCGTGTGGTCAGGAACAGGGTCAGGAAACATTTTTACATCACCATTGATGAAGAAATCTGTTTCTTCTAAAGTCATTTCATACTGGATTTTGCTAGAACTCTCAACATGATATCGTGCAGCCTCAACTAGCTTTTCAACACTGTGAAAGTGACAATGAAGAACACCATGAGTACTTTTAATACACAATGATAATAAAATAGCTTTCAATTTTAATGTGTTTACACTTTTAGAGCTTTTCTGAAGTAAGAATTACAAATTCCCTGTGCAAATTCTGTAATCAGCAAAATCATTATGAAGTCTACTCCTCCCCTGGCAGCAAGACACCTTTTGACTATTGTAAGAAATTCATATAAAGTCAGATCTAGGACACAGAAGAGACCAGATGGAAAAATATGAAAGCACTTCCTAGGGCAGCATTGTGGAGAGGCACATGAACTTCCTTCTCAAGTACAATGAGTACAATTTATAGAGGGAAAGACATTAGCAGTCTTTAATGTTCAACTAGACATAGGTTTAGCTTGGAGTGTCAGGGCAAAGGATATGATGTTCTGTAAAAACAGTGTCTTTGGTGGGTCGTCTTGTCAGGAGAGCAAATAAAACTGGCTGGAAGGCAGAGGCTTTGCCTCCTTGAGCTACTGCCTGTTAAAGCCTTCACATCCTACATTCGTGTCTTTCTTCTTGAGCATGCCCTGAGATGGATCAAGTAGCACTGTCCCAGGTATGATTTAAAAGTTAGTACAGGGCAGAAATATTTTACAAAGGGCAAAGTGACCTCTTTTCTTTGGAAAGTAAAAGCCCTTCAATGATATGAACACTTGATATGCCAGATGGTCTAAGTGTTATATAGTGGTGCCAAGTACATTTCAGTTACTAGGACAGAAAAATTGTGAGGGAGAACTTTTTTTAATGATCCTTGAAATAATTTTGAGAAATGTTATAGAAAGTGGTAATAACGGCAGGTGGAATTTTCCAGCATGTGTAAAGCACAGGAAAGAAAATAATCTCACATTCCACAGTGACAGAAGCTACTGAAATGATACAGAGCCTTCTACTAAATGGAATAACTGGTTATCTGCTTGTAAATCTGCCAAAGTTGTAGTCCAATAAACAGACTAGAAATATACAATAGAAAAATACCAGAACTGATAATTACCTTTACAGCTATCTGCAGAACCCTTCTAGGAACTGAGTTATTACCACTCAGGTATTGAAGATAAAATGAAATTTCAGTTCATGAAATAAAATTATTATTTTAAATTCTTTTCCCAAATTATTTCTCCTTACACAAACAAGTATATATACTACTATAGTCTAGGTAAAAAAAAAATGAAATTGTTTAAAACTGATATACCTACCTGGCCATTTCTGCCAGGAAGGTGGATCCAAGCCACTTTTCCATATCTCTGTAAGCCTCTTCCGCTTTCATTTTTAGGTCTCCAACAAATGCTAAAGCTTTTTCTTTTATAAGGTCTAGTCGAGATTTTGTGGCTGCCTCTGTTTAAATGGTAATGTCATAATGAATAACATTTATAAAATTTTAGGAAGTTCTCAGTCTTAAGCACGTAAAATTTAGCATGATTACCTGATTTAGACAGTAAAACACTTACTTAATGACTCATATTCTTGAACAAGTATTTTCTCAGAATCACCTATATGCATCCTGTCTTTTACAAAAGTTTGTATTCTATAAGCATCAGAATTCACAAGGCAAGAAATTTTCAGTTATTCTGTCTCTTTGTCTGTCTTATCCAATAATTTCCTTGGGCTTGCCAACTGCTGCCAGATAGAATCTGTAACAGCTATGCTCAATCTTCCCTTAAGTGATAAAGAGGTATTTTTCTTTTAGTCTAAACCCATCTCCAAAAAGTTTTTCAAACCTCTTTCAATCTAGGGCTTTTTTTCAGACATCTACTTTGGGTTGAATTGGCTTGGAAATTATTGGATAAGACAGACAAAGAGTCAGAATAACTGAAAAATATGTAGTTTTTGAAGAGTCTGTCTGTAAAGGCACTTGGAAGAATAAAGAAAATATGTGTCCTGCTGCTTGAATCCCATGCGGTTTGAAGAAGAGGGAATCAGAGAAGAATATCAAGGAAATATACAATTGCCAAAAATTCTTTCACATATCAAAATATTTCAAGTACTGAACTCAATTCAATTGAAAATTGAAAACTGAAAAGTGGTTAACCACCTAGGCTAAGCCTTTTCTCTCATGACAAATATTTCCTTAGTCGTGCCAAATTAAATAAGATGAAATGAAACAGAGAACAAAAACAATGAAAATCACATTTCTACTTTAAATATATTTATCACAAAATTACTGACAATTACCACCTTAAATAAATCCAGACCCTACTCTCTCCCTTCTTTTTTATCCATCACTTTTCTCAAGTATTTCTGGCTAGTTTTGATTATTACACTACCTAAATTAGAAATAACAATCACCTCTCAATATAAATAACCAAATAGTAACATACCCTCATGTTTCAAGGCACATAGATGTTCTTGTTTTATTTTAAGTGCCAGTTCTTGTTTCTTTAATACTTCTGGGTCTATAGGAATTACACTGACTTTCTTCCGTGATCCTGCAGGAAAAATAGACTGTTCAGTCTTTGGACTTTGCTAGTAAATTTGTGTATCAATACATAGTCATTCAATAGCATATTTTTTTAAAAGAAAAATTACACTTTCCACCTTACTTGATGGGACCATTTATGAGAATACACAGGTGGGGGCTCAGCTATCAAATGTGATTTATATCTGCAAGTCATGCTAAGATTAACACTCCATAAAAATACTCCAGCATATACAACTATATTAAAATTGGTTAGAGGACATCCTAAAATGTATTTCTGAAAGGAAAATCATGACTGCGTAGATGTGTCTCTGACTTGATGCTAGATGGTCAGAATGTCCTGTTTGACCCTAATATATACCATTTTATCACAATTAACACATAAATAAGCATCTTTTGAATAACACTTATTTCTTTACGCCTTTCCAAACCATTCCGTTATCTGCATTACCAGCTTGTTTTAACTTATTTATGTATGAACAGATACTGTAAAGATACTTTATAATGTTTTTAGATATTCTGTAGCCACGTCACTTTGGCTATTACTCAAAAATATTAAAATATTTCTAATATTTCTAATATTTCTAATTGCTTTATCCTCAAAGAAGAGCAGATGGAGATGTTACAGAAAAAAAAAAAAAAAAAAAGACATCTGCATGATACCTAAGGTCAGCATAAAGCAAATGGTCAAATCTAGAAGTGACAAAACTACGTGTGGTAAGTTGTATCATTCAATTACTACTACTACTACTACTACTAATATATTATTATATTATTATAAATCAAAGTTGATACTTCAGTTACAAATCATCAGTTGACACTTCCTCTTCTACCAGGAGGAATGCACAGCTGAGTTCTGGTTGCACTTCTATCACTTTATGGTTTTGTGATTTCAGGTAGGTTGTCTAATACCAGGTAGGAACAAAAATTTAGTTCCAAGAAGCAATCCACAAACTCCAACCTAGCCACTTAGCATATAACAGGTGACACCTGCTGATTTTTTTCTCACAAAACTTTTCTAGAAGTCCAAAAATCAGCTACTCTCTTGGCTGGACTAAATGCTAAACTAAGCCTCAGGATTCCTGAGGCTCACAACAGGTTAACTATTTGCAAGGCTATGCTTGTTCGATCTACTAGGGACAGAATCAACCAGAGGGACAGAACCGAGCACAGTGCAAATTAAATGTCTGTCAAAGAAAAAAAGTCAACTGCTTTATGCACAATATCTCTGCAGTTACAGCTTTCACTTGGAAACAGAATACCTGAATTTCAGGTTACCCTCACACTGCAGGGCATGAGCCCCTCTCTTGACATGTAGAATGACTTTACAAAAAGAGAAAAGATTCAGGCTACTAGCCTTGCTTCCTGCTGAAGTTAGGACATTTTGCAGGAAAAAAAAAAAAAGAAAAAAAAGGAAGTTACATAAACCACTACCTGCACAAGGAAGTAGTTATGACAATATGTGTAAACAGCCTTGTATGCCACAGTGCCTTCCAGGAGACTTCCTGTTCCTCTTTTGCAAATAAATTAGGACAGTTTCTTACCAGGCTTACATGCCAGATCTCCCTCAATAGCAGTTGCTTGTTTTTAAGACTGTAGATGATATTAGGTTGTCTATTCTTTATTTACATCACATTGCAGTTACACATAAAAATTATGGACACTGATCCATGCTACTGTATGGCTGCTAAATTAATTTCAGTATATCTTAAGGCACTGTGTAATTGACCCATTCCGTTCCAGTAGTATTACTTTAATTGTTGAGGAATGCAGTCAGTGCACCTTTGGGAGCTGCAGGCTGAGTTCTGGGTGGTGGCAGCCTGAGACAAGAGGCTTCGAATTGGCACCAAACCTTTGCAGAACAAAGGGCCTGGGGTCCCAGGGCCCAGCCAGGGGACTGGACACTCACAGACACTCACAATGGGAGACAATGACCCCAAACTTTCGTGCACTTAGACTGTGAGGGTGTAAGAACCCAGGGTTTCCTTTGTTCAGGGTCCCTCCTCGAAGGCACCAGTTCAAGCTGTTATCCTATTGTTGCACCGAGATTTTAATTATTTTAAGGATCCAAACATCTGAGACTGTGCCATGGGAAACCTGGGATGGAACATGAAAGGAAACCTGGTCTGACTATGCGAGTGTGGGGGGTGTAGGGAATCAAATGGCAACCTGTCCATTTGCTGGAGCCACCTGTTTTGAAGGGGTCTCAGTCCCAGCTCAGATGGTGCAGAGTGTGACTGCCAGAGTGGCTCCTGGATGGTCAGACAGGGAAATTTCTTTAATATTAATATTTGAAATATTCTGACTTATAGCTGGGAAGAAGGCCTAACTAAATAGACTTTTATTTACTTTGATAAACTATTCTTAACTATTCCATTCCATTTCATTCCAATACAGAACATAGAGAAAAAAATATTTATTTTCTACACGCTATTTAGAATATTTATTCCTACATATAAAGACAACATATATATGTTTAAATAAATGCAATTGCCATTCAAAAGCTTTTTTATCACTACCAGCTTTTTATATTGACACGTTATGTTTGGTATTTTAAAAGAGAAATTAAATCCAAATTAAATATCTGGTTTTACTTTCTTCTGTATTACTAACATATTTACATTTTGGTAATTTCAAGCACTGCTGAAACAAAGTCTGTATTTTAAATACCTTTCTTTTTAGCAACTGATTTGGCAGAAGGCTTTCTGGCATCTTTCCCAGCAGCTTTGCCTGAGCGTTTCGGATCTTCTTTCAGTTTTTGCTGCTGACGTTCTTCTTCTTCCTCCGTTTCTCTAAACTCTATTTCAGCTGTTACCTTGACACCATAATCACACATAGTACAGTACATAGCATCCACTCTGTGCAAATACTGTTTCAAATTGCCTATATTTGCTGAAAGTACTTGATGATAACTAGACACATAAATAAAGACACACTTTAACTAACTGATTAAACTCAACAGTATAGGAAGCAAGCTTAAAATTTACATGTCAAAGGTGCAGAAATAAATTGTTTTTAAATGATCAAAGAGAAATCAAACCTAGAAACCAACCATTTTAAAAGCTCTCCTAATTTACTTACATCTATACAGAAAAAAGAATGTAACTATAGCTTTTCAAGTTGTGAAAACACTATGCCACAGGATTAAAATTCTCCATCTACTCACACTTCCACAGAGAGAGAACAGGAGAGTTTATCATGGAAGAAGCAGATATAGAGAAGCAACATTCCAAGTATTTCTCTCAGTAATGGAATAAAAGGGTCAGTTATAAACACAGAGATGCCAAAAATACACAGGTTCAAGCATTTTCCTCAAAGAACTACAAAAATGTTCAATGGAAATATCAGCAGTGGAGCAAGAGGCATGAAATTGAGATACATAGGGCAAAGCTGATGTGCTTAGGCTGCCTGTTGAATGGGAGGCTTTGAACATATGATCCAAAAATGTTTAAGCAAATAAAACATTTCTTACCATATTTGATACTGCTGTTACTGCTTTTTGCCATGTATAAATAATAAGCCTTTCATCACTCATGCAAACAGCCACTCCATTTTCAGAATTCTCAACATTAGAAGTTGCCTGCAGAGTTCCATTGTTTTCTGTCTTGGTATTAATTTCTGGTGAAAGTGGTTTCCAAGAAACAAGAGGAATCCTCAAAAATAAAATATAACCAGTAATTAGCATACCACTTTGTAAAAAGTGTTAATAACTACATCAGAGAATATGTTGAAAGAATTAGAATGCTATTTTCAAAATTTGCACTAGCAAGACAAAATGACCAAAAATGATGAAGAGTGTGTATGAGCAGAAAACTGTCCAGTTTAACTATTAACAGCTAAGGAGTAAGAACAGATGGATAAAACTACATCAAATGACTGTGAGATTTGCTGATGAATTTCATATGGGTTAGAAGCAGAATTTTAATACTCAGACAATTTCTAAATGCACTGTAAGTTAAAAAGCAAGTGTCAATATTGACGGCATTTTTTATATTGTGAAATTATCTGATGGTATGTATCCCTTACCTTTTAATATCCCATTCAGTTTAGTGCATCTTTGTAGGCTGCTTTGAGTGACACTTGTTATGTAATGTGTTTAATTATGTATTTAATTATGCTAATTGGCACAAATTTTAAACCTGCTAATGTTCCACAATAATATTTTAACTTATTTATGTGAGGATTGTGCTGGAAACGATCAGTAACACGGAGGGACACAGGAAAATATTCTACAGTAGATTTCCTCCTAAGGCAGCTTTTATAATGTTTTACAGTTCAGGGATGCATTACTGAAAATGATACAGGTAAATCAGTAAAAAATTAGGGGTACATTTAAGCTACAGGATGATTTAAGATTCTTCATTTGACCATAATCCCTGGTTAAAAATTCTTGATTCCCATCCTTCGAAGTATGCACACATATATTTCCACACACACCTACAAAGTTATCAGTGCACTGTATTTGTTCATACTTGCATAATTTAATAATGCATTTCTACCTTCTTGATTTGTCTTCGTCTTCCTTCTGCTCTATATCTTCCTTCTGCTCTTCACCTTCCTTCTGCTCTACATCTTCCTTCTGCCCTACATCTTCCTGCCCTACATCTTCCTTCCCTACATCTTCCTTCTTCTCTACATCAAAAATATCTAACAATGGGATTCTAGTAAAATCTTTACTGTCTTCTGTTGGGATTTTTCCTTCCATTGACCTATAGTAGTCATGAAGAATTCTCTTTGTATCTTGGAAACGATCCACTTCAACCTCGAGAGAAAAGGACAGAAGAATTGCAATTCAAAATAGGACAGAACAAACTTTTATTACTTTTTTAAAATACATGTTAGCAGAAACACTTCTAAATCCCAAGCGTTTGAAGGAGAGCAAGAGGCATAACCATTTATAGTGTACTCAATGCATACTTCTACTTGCATTTATAATGTATTCACTCTGTCATTTCTGACGAGTAATAAGAATCATGTTTGTTAAAATAGGAAAAATAAGAAAAATCCTCTACAATAAATAATCACAGAATCACAGAATATGCTGAGTTGGAAGGGATCCACCAAGATCATTGAGTCCAATTCACAGCCCTGCACAGGATCACCCCCAGGAGTCACGCCATGTACCTAATGTTTAATGTATTAAATTTAATCACAGTATATTTTGATGTATATACATTTCTATAGTAGCAAGTATATTGGTGCCAGTATATTACATGGATCTTCTTTTTCAAAGGAAATAAAATCCTTAATACCATAAAACAAAAGGGGCTATGAATGGAGAAAATTTTAGAAGTCATACAGTTTTTCTGGACTGAAGAAAGCAACATACTTTACGCACCTAAGTGTCTTGAAGATCATTTTGTGGGAATCATCTCAGAAGAAATCAAGTAAGATTCAAGAAACATTTAACACCTGTCATGTTTTGATTTATTGATACAGTATGGTGTTGGTCTCTAACCGACAAAACAGCACTAAATATTCATGGGAAAATGCACAAAACCACATTCACAAAACAAAGGATAAAACCTTTGTGGTGTAAACCAGCACTTATCCCTAAGTTAAGGAGGAAATATCTTCTAGTATAACTGCGTGTACAGAGAAAGATGGAATGAAATCTGATAAATGGCATTTATAAAAATCTTTTTGTTAACACAGTTACAGAGCCACCTGGGGAATATATGTAACTTTCAACAGAAAAACCCACAGATGGAGAGCTCAATACCAAAGAAGCCCATTTCTGGTTGTTTCTAAAAAAAAAGCCATCATATAAAGTTATTATATTTTCAGTTCTGTAGTTTTAGGATTAACAATTCATTTATTTTGGGGAATATATACTAAGTAAAGAAAGAACTAATGTTTTCCTTTAAATTTTCCTTTACAAAAATAAAAGCTTATATATGATTAATACATGTGTTTGTAATTTTAAAGAGTTACTCTGCATATCTACACAAGACAGATCAAATTAGATTCATAGGGAATCTCCACTGGACTGCATCGTATCTGTCCATGAAATTCTGTTAGAATTAGGATTGCAAAGCTATACAAGATTATAAAAGGAGAATAATAAAATATTTAAGCTCTGTAAAATTAATTTGTCTCCTATATGCATATAATTCAAGAGGGATTTTTTAAATAGTCAGACCTATAAATACTCTAATTACAGGATGATTATGGTTCCACTAGTCAGGAGTTATTTGATATTTCAACCTCTCTCTTTAGTCAGTGGCCTTAAGTCTTTCTTTAGGGCATTATTTTGATTCTTTGAAAATGAAGTTAACAATTTCCTTACTGTAGCAACAGACTATTTCACACACTTTATATTTAAAATACGAGATAAAAGAGTGGCTCCTTGTTTATTAAGCATATAAAAATCACACAGGGAATTAAAGGCAGGAAGCTCACCCTAAACTACTTCGATCTGCTTTTTTCAGGTAAATCATCACAAGGCATGTGCTTAAAGCATTGTTTTTGTTATCTTCTTTAAAGTGCCAAAACTTTTACAGAATGGTCACTTCAGTTTACAGAAAACCCTGTCTGGTCTAGTCTATCCCAGTCCAGTTCTAAACCATATTTATGCACCTAGAACAGAAGTAACAGGGAAATCTTACTTTACTGCAGGAACTGAATGGTCTCTCAAAAACTTTAAAGTTAGATATCTGAAAGTTGTCTCATATTTCAAAAGGTTTTATCAAGAGTAACAAATGATATTTCAATCTCAAAAACATACCCTACTTTTTGGGGTTTTTTTTCAGAGTGTAGGTAAAATTTCAAGCCACATTGGTGAAGTTACAACTGAAATAATTTTGAGATACGGGAAATACTGTAACATCAAGTGGGTCTACAACAGAGGTGAATTATGCACTTTGCAAATTAAAAGGAGATGTCAATATGATTACAGAAGAATAAACATCCGTAACACTTCTGTTAAAAAACTCAGATGATTCACTGGAGTGAAAAAATAACAAAAAGTAGCACTCTATAATAGAGATTGAAAGTTTTGGGGGGGTTTGGACAACAACAATGGTATTTTTCTTAACCTTTTCTTCCTGCCAAAGTTAAATGTATGGAATGACACCTACTTTTTGTCTCTCAACTTTCTAGATAAATTCAGAAGACAATAAGATTTGCTTAACTAATTCTCAATCCCTCACACATTGAGGGATTGAGGGAATATGAAATTTCTCTCAGGCTTACTCTCCTTCAAATCTAATTCATTGTCCCCTTCCATTGCAGACTCTGTAGTGGTACATACCTGCATAAGTGAAAAGAAATGGTTCATTGCAATGCCCCTATGATCTGGTAACCAGTCTTTATTCATGATATCAATACGTTCTTGCTCTGCGTCCTTCCTTCTGCTGTCACAGATATCCCAGAGAAGATCTCTTAGGTCCTAAAACACAAAATCAAAGATGATAAATAACTGTGAAAGAAAACTTAAATATCTTTATTTTATATATTTATTACTAATTATTATTTATTATTATATTACTTTATTCTAGTTTACTATATTTTAATACATATATTTTCTATTATATTTTATTATATTACATTATTAATATTAATTAATATTAATTATTTATTAATAATTTTTTGGCTGTGTATAGGACATCATCTCATTTGGGGCTTTTTCTTTATTGTATAAATATAAAAGCCTGGTCAAGTCACATGCTTATAAAGAGCTGACAGAAAGTGGCTTTACAAATGTACTAGAGAGAAGAATACAAAGACCTGAGTACAACGTGCAGGCTGCCTTGCTTTTCCTCAGGTAGAGACGATCTATCTAAGCCAGACAAACATAAGACTATGAATAGCTAAGCTTCCAACTGCACTAACTTTGCACTTGGATGGTTTGCTAACCAATACACTAAGAATAATACTCTAAGGGGATGTACAATATGAAAAATTCTGAGAAAATTATGCCAGATTTCAAGAGGTGTTCCAATTTGGATTGCCTCCATGCCATTTTTCTCTAACATTCCTTTAATTAAGGGCTCTTCAACTAATGTCTATATCTAGTAGCAGCACTATGTGGCTCACTCACAGCACTGAAGACCTACCAAGCATACAACATCTTTGTAAACCCCTTGTTCCCTATTACCATCTCTGTCTTTTCATAATTCCATTTAGTAGAAATTAGGAATATGGATGACGATTTTAAAGTCCTCTAATTCATTCTATTGAAATAATTCTATAGAAAAGGAGGTCCATCTAGAGATTTTTCCATCTCAGTGAATTAATCCATGATTCCATAAATGTTGCCTTTTACTAGCAATGTTGTCAGTATTCTTTTTCCCTTTTTTTTGGGAGCACTTTTCCTGATACAACTCAATGAAAAATCATGTCTGTTCTGAAATGGGAAGCTGATAAATTCAAAGATAGCTGTACTTTTGGTTTATGTTAAATCTGGCTTTGAACTTGTTAGGATCTTTACTGTCACAGATTTTTGTGAAGAAGAACGCTCAGGACACGTATGACCTAGCAAAGATCTACCTGAACCAAAAAATTTCAAAGAAATTCCCTGTATTTTGTATGAATCTGTTTTAGAAAACATATTTTACCATATATAACTTATGGGAAAACTAAAATACTACCAAGATTTGTTAGACTGTGATAGAAATATCTAAACTTGTAAAATCTCTGAAAATCATAAAATTTAAAGAAAAAGAGAGCTGTGTACCAGCGTACCACAGTGTAACCTAAAAAATGAAGCAAGACATAAGAAAATTATGGCCAAACAACAGAGAAATAATTGGGAAGAACACTTTATGCACAAGAGGAAATGGAATAGTATAAGAGGACTGGTAAAAAAGGATAAATAATAATATCATAATAATAAATAAATAATATAATTTATGTCATATCAAGCTTGTATACGATGAATAATAGTCTAGGATATATTGTAACTTTTGCCATTTACTTACAGTAACTCTTTGGTGTAGTTCAGCTTTTGTTTCCTCATCATCTCGAAGGTCATCAGAAATAGAATTAAAATCTGCTTGCCACTGAGATACAAACTCCTGCTTAAGATCTGGACGTTTCAAAAAATCTTGGAAACTTTTTCTGTAAATTATGGTAAAAATAATTTTGGTGTTAAAAGACATACAGAATGCCATAGGAAAAATAAAATATATTTATATTAATGTAATAAAATACTATTTCTACTCACCTAATATCTGCTATGTAATGAATCACTGCATACTGTTCATCCCTTAGGCATCTAAGTACAGCTTTGATGGTATTTATATATGCATTTTCTATCATTTCCCAGTAAGGTACTATAAAATCAATTATCTCCTGTGAATTTTTTAAAAACATCAACATTAAATGGCACATTTCTTGGTAATTCATTTATCTGTAGCACTAGTAAATACATGAAAACATTATTTCATTAAATCATTTTACTTTTTTTTTTCACTGTGTATTTCTTTTGACTTACAACTGATTATAGACATTACAGATATAGCTTTATCCTGTGCATTTCTTTGAAAAAAGCGGTAGGTCTCAAAAGGAGTGGTAGGTTCCAGCAGAATACTCCAGTATCTATGGTTTTGGATATGCTCCTAAACTAAGCGATGATCCTAAGTGAATACTGAAGTATGAAAATTTGGTCATTCCTGTTTGAGCTCACAAAGATCTAAGCTGGCCGTCCAGAAGTGACATTTCACTGACTTACTGTCATGAAATGTAAATAAAGCCCATGGCCAGAGGAAACCAAGCATAAGCAGTCATGAAGGAAAAACTGGTAAATATTAGGAAAGGAATTACTAACAGAATTCCAAGTTTTATTGTCCACCCTTGAAATCTACATCCGAAAAACTGCATGAAGTCTTGGCTTCCCAAGTCCAAAGATTTACAGGAGAACTAGAATAGATTAAAACTGGATTGGAGAAGAAAAGCAACACTGAGCAAAATGAACATATAAGAGATGCCAGTCACATCTTAAATACCTTCAGAGGATGATTACAGAATTATTATTCATTGTATCTCACAACACATGAATTAGGCTCATCAAATTCAAGTAAAGAACAGTTTAGAGCAAAAAAAGAGAAATATTTTTTTCTGAATTAACATAATTATACAGCCTATGCCAAGGAGAATACAGCAAATGGCTTCAAAAAAGCAACTAAAGCAAATAAAACACATAAAGAAAAGTCTATTGAGAGCTACTAAACACAAGACACAGATATAAAGCCACTTCAGGAAACCTCTAAATTTCAGATCACTGGAATCTAGGAAGATGCCTTTGGGTAAAATGGGTAAGGAAAAAAGTATCCCAGGAGAAAGATTAGTGCACACACTCCCCATTCTTACTTTTTGTGTGAGATCCACAACTGCCTCTTGTAAGAGACAGAAAAGTGATCTAGTGAGTCTATATTAGTATATCATAATAGTAGAAAGGATTATTATTAAGAACACAGGCATCTGTGTTCTTCACCCCGATTGTAAAGAATTTAGAAAAAAAATCAAAATTTTAAAGTATGTTCCCTTATTTTATGTATTTTAGTAGGAATGGTTGTTAGTATATTATTTATCATACAGTACTAGCATAACATACATTGAAAAATATTGAAGAAAACAATGTGCAGTGACGTAAAAAGTTTAGGTAGCACATACACAGAATATTAAGAAAAATATGTACTTTGATATTTAAGATGTTTAATCCTGAATGAACACACCTGGGGAAGTGGTTCATCTACATAAATGTATTCATCTGATCCTGGTTCTATTGGTGGTGGTGGTGTCTCAGAAGAGGGAGGAAGCAGATCTTGATCTGCATCTGGTAAAGGCGTTTCTTCTGTATCTGGTAAAGGTTTTACTTCTGTAACTGGTAAAGGCTTTTCTTCTGCTGGTGCTATTTCTTGAGTAGACCCTTGATATGAATGCACAATTAGTACCTTCAAATGTATTTTAAGTATCAATAAATAGAATAAGACACCTATGCTACTTGGACATACTTGGATTCACTATTTCATAACTTAGATGTTGTTCATCAGAAAATATACTCATGAAATCAGCAATGTTCAAGGGGGATTGGGTCAGAGAACATCTAAACAAACTTGGCATCCGCAAGTCCACAGGCTCTGACAGAATGCTCCATGAGGGCTGAGAGAGCTGGCAGACATCATAGCCAGACTGCTCACGATCATCTTTGAAAGGTCATGGAGATTAGGAGAGATCCCTGTGGACTGGGAGAAAGCAAATGCCCCCTGGTCTTCAAAAGGGCCAAGAAGGACACAGGGAACTACCAGTCAGTCAGCCTCACCTCAGTCCCTGGAAAGGTGATGGAATGCCTCATCCTGGAGGCCACCTCTACCCACATAGAAGACAAGAAGATGATCAGGAGTAGTCAGGATGGATTCACTAAAGGTAAGTCATGTTCCACTAACCTGCTTATACAAACCTAATAGTGAAGGGTAGCTTGGAAGCTATCAACATAAATATGAAATTAAACATTAATTATTGGTCACAGGGATAATTTCTCCATAGGGAATAAATAGTCCTTCACAGTACTTCTATACAATAGCTGGATTCTAACTGTAAAATCTCCAGTTCATTTGTATCAATAGGAATTTTGCCACCAACGCCAGCAGGGCTATTAATTATACCAAATACGTAAAAAACCCCCAATTCCAACTATGTAGTTTTTTGAAAACACTCCATCCAATTTTCTGTCAACTGTGGTAATTCCAAGAATTTTTCATGAACTAGAAACCTTATGCATGAGTAGTGGGATAAAATTTTACAGTAAAGAGTATTTATCCAGTCAATATTTTGTTTGTTTGTTTTGGTGGTAGGAGACACATCAAGACTTTCTCCTAATAGTTATGAAAAGAGTCTGGTTATTCACAGGTCTACTAATATTGGTCTACTTGATGCATTTGTTCCCCTGCATACTTCACCTTTTTTTCCTTTTTTTTATTATTTTTAAATTATTCTTTCCTTCTGCTTGATTAAGAAGAGAAATAGAATAAAGATGTACAAAAATTCATATCAAAACCACTCCTAGTTATCCATATTTTTATGCTGTTGTTGATGCTAAATGAATATATGTTTATAATGGCAAGTTAGACTTTCTTATGCCATTATGCTATATACCAATAAATCACTTTCATAGGATGAAAATGCTACCTGTAATTTTTAATCCAGGAAGAAAGACTGAATTTAATGCTTTAATTTAATTTTTATGTGAAATTGGTCCATATCCTCTGAAAAGCTAAAAATACAACAGAAAAGTTCAGGGTTCTGATGCAGGTATCACTAACTCACACAACCACAAAGACCTCCAGGGGCAGAAAAAATGCAGGTTGCCATATACTGTTATATAGTAATTACCAGTTATAAAGAAGAAAGTCTTTTGTTACTGAATTCTAGAAAGTAAGAACATGAAAACTTACTTCTATTCTGTTTTTTCGCAATTTCTTCTATTATAATCTCCTTCACTGTTTCACACACATGACTTTCTTCTGTCTCTGCATTTACACTCACTAGAATATTTTGATGGACTGAAAACCATTTCTCTAATTTTGGCCATGTGTCTAGAAAGCCTGAAATTCTACAAAAATCATATTAATGTATGAAATTAAAATCTAAGTAGTGGAAAATCAAACATTTTCTAAAATTAGTGAACAAAGGAAAAAGCACACCATCTAATTTATTACTAAAACAACTCCATCCACAACAAACCTTTCATTTTAAACATAGGACAATTTTCAAAATCCTTCTGTTAACTAGTCTTATGTATTTCTTACTCTTTCTTGTCACAAGCTAAATCTACTTTCTTATATAAGAACTAAACCAATAATAGCAAATAATAGTCTTAACTAGTTAATATTATCAAATATTTAGAAACCAATTGTTCTTGATTTTGCTCTTTGTATAAAGCTAATCTTCTAGTGATTTAATTAAAACTGGAAAACTAAGTGCTTTTTATAAATGTAGAAGTGGAAAATAGCATTTTAGAAAATCTCTAGCACGAATCAAATGTATTTCAATCAAAGGCAGTTACATCATGTGTGACATATATATATAGATAAAAATATGTGTATATAAATATTTAATGCAGTATATATCTGAAAACTAAATTCTACCAGGAAGAATACCCTGGAAAATCAAAACACGTGAATTCTAATTTTTAGGATTATTTACATTGTGCAAACAATGAAAATATCCATTAGGCTGCACATTAGAGAAATGCCTAAGTAAATTCTTAACATTAAGCATGTCAGTATTGTCATGGATCACATACGAGATTCAGATTACTTACATGCCTAGACATTTATCTGGAGCAACTTCTTTGTACTTGATATAACTTACCTATGTAGGACCTGGACCTTGCCCAAGTCAATCTTCTCTTCTAGGATTTCAGGATCTGAATTTTGATGGCTGTTTTCCTGTTCAGTTTGAGATGACTTTGATTTACTTACTGTGTGGAAAAGAGCATATATGAGCATATATTGAAAAAAGCAATCATTCAGTTATTCCCCTAAAGTAAGATAATTATTATAAGAAATATTTCAGTGTTCCTTGATCTTACGTTTCTTCATTTCAAAATTGGGTACCAAACTTCCTAAAAGAAAGGAAAAGTCAGAAAACATCATAGAAATATAAAATCAAGCTGTAAAGGACATGAAAATACTGTCTTGCCTCTCTCTTTTAAATGCATAGCCAATTACAGCACTAACATTTCCTAAAGGATGCTTTGCAGTCATAGAAATCTCCAGTTGAAGAGATGGAGCATTCCTGTGGGCAGACTATTTCAGCCTTATCTACTCTACCAGTTAGGAGGTATTTTCCCAGTTTCATCTGAACCTTCCTTGAAGTAGCTACTTCTTTCCACGATGAGCAGATATTCTACTGCATGTAAAGACGAGGTGTTGTCTCTCTCTGATTTTTTTTTCTAAATTTAAGAAACCTTTAATTCATTAGAAATAAAACATTTTTTAAAAACTCTGATTTATTGTTCTTTTGACTCTATCACCACATTACATAACATGAAACAAATTCTGTTTCTATTTCTGAGATTACATTATGTGTTATCATGTCTTCCAAGTGGTTTGTCAACACAGTACCTTAAAATTAGCAAGAATTTCAAGTGTCTATACATCTATCTTCACTAAATTGTTAGCAAGAGCTCTGAAGATATTGTCTCATCCTCACTCCTACATCTACATAAAAGTTAAATGTAAATTGTGCTTTAATTTAAGCTACATGCCATTTGTGTGCTGCAGTGAAAACAACGAAGAAGAATCACCTATAATTTTGGATAATATGGGACATATTAATGAAAAAACTTATATTTCAACAAGGTGTGTTAAGGCCATTTAAAACACATAGTTTGAAAGTGAAACAGCTCTCAAGACGTCCTTGAGCCTAAAATGACAACTTCTGATCATTCAGCGATTAACTGAAAACAAGATAAAGGCAGTAATCAATAAGGAATTAATTCTGACACTCTCAGGGAACAAACTCTCACATCCCTCCATTCATAATTTCCTTCATCCCTTTCCAAATGTGTCTCCTGAAGAAAAATACTATTTCTATACATTTCTCTATATTGAGGGATATTTCTGCATCTATTGTAACTTGTGTTTCTCCCAGCTGCTGTTTTATGTGATATATAACACCAGCCACTGTACTATCCCAGCTCCAGTGAGAGTTCAGTACAAATTCAAAAAAGTATATACACCTTCACTTGCATACTTCTGATATGCCTTTGACTGAAACAAAAAGAAGGATTTGAAATAATCTCAAGGTATTCAAGGCACAATTAATGAAAGTGATACTGTGAGATGCAGAGAAATTGTGCAGTAATGCTATTTTTCATTATTAAGTACAACTTACAGATATCTGCTCATCAATTTATTTTGTTACTAGTAGTTGGAAACTTACACTTCATGTTAGCTGCACGTTGCAATACTACAGTGTCTGAAATATCCAATAACAGAGAAACATCAAATGCAGGTGAGATAACAGGAGGCTTGGTAGGGGCTCTGGGATCTATGGCAAGTGAGAGCTTTCCAGAAATCACATCTTTTTCTTCTGGATCATTCCCTGTATATGCTTTGTCAAATAGCTTTGCCTGATTAATTGTCATTGGAAACCCTTCCACAATCCATCCCTTCTCCGCTGGTATTTGGCTGAAAGTAAATGAAGAACCAGACTTATACAGTGAATTGATAGCATAACAATAAAAACTAAAGAAGAGCTTTCTCTAGCAGTCTTTCATTCTTAATTCAGTATATTCAATATCCCGATGAGTATAGAACATGACAGATATTATTAAACTGTAAATAAGAAAAAATACTAAGTCCAATTAAAAGTGAAAAAAATCAGAAATGAAAAAATTTTTTACTGTCTTGATAAATAGAATTTTCAAAAACGCTAAAGGGGCTCTTTTTAAAATTTCACTGTTTTCTCACTAACTTTTGTATTGAGGTAACAAATAGTAAAATCTGTTCTGTAACCCTGAAGTATACTAATGGCAGTAATACAATTTAAACTATATTCATGCAGGGACTTCATGCTAAATGCACATCATAGTAGTGAAGACAATTTTCTGTCAAACAAGAGTAGACAAAACCAAGTGTTTATACAATTTCATACTTAATGGCTTCCAACAGGAGGTCAATTAGTACTTCATCGGGAATACTTTTTCCTTTCTTCAACCATTTCTGTGATGCAGCGCCAAGCTGGGCACGCATAGATAGCTGTGGAATAGTGCAGTGTATGTTCAGAATGCTCATAACAGTCATTGTCAAAAAGAGTATGATTCCACTTTTTGTATTACATACTATTTATTTTTTAATTTTTTTTGTTATTTATATTTAATAGGGTTTCCTTTTCTATTAAGGAGACTAGTTCTAACAGTAAAAAACGCATAGTTTAATTGAAATCTTCAACTGATTTTCATCACTACATTCACTAAAATGTCAAAAGAAATGTGGTTCAGAAACAAAGGATATGAAGGTCAATAAATAAAAAAAATGTTCTGGTTCTAAGTTTACTTTGATTGATTTTCACTATCATAAATCCACTGATGGTTTCCTACGGTAGCGTATAAATACATTAGTTCTACAGAGATTCTTTTGTATCTTAGCTTTTGAAGTATTTTTCAATGAACAATAAAGTCAAAGAAATCACTGTAGAATTAAGCATTTTTAATGTAAAGGAAAGGAACCTTGCCATTGGATGAATTATCTGCTTAGCTGCGGCAAAACCAGGAATACAGTTTTGCTAACTCAGAAATGACACAGAAAATACCATATCTTCTGTGAATTTGAGATTTAACAAGAAAATACAGAACTCTAACAATATGTATAACTCTAACCATCATACAGAGGAATAGATTTCCATATTTCATACATAAAATGCTTGCAATGAGGTCAGTAATTTACAATTATGAAGTCACCTTTTAATTCATTTAACCATTTTAATTAATGCCTCTTCATAAAGTAGAAACTAAAATTGGTTTACAAAACTTGGAGGGGCTCTCTTGACTGTTCTATTACAGAAAAAAACAAGACTGTCAATTCAAGTTGACTTTTGAAGTCTTACATTTATACAGTTATAACATAGAATTAGGTTTGAAATTGAGTAAAAAACTGAAGTATGCTTTCTTCCTTATATATTTCATTCTCATCTACCTGTTGGAGTCAAAATTAAGAAAAATGCTTACCTTACTTTGTTCCACAGAACTCTCTTCATGTGGAATCCTATCACAGTCACTTTTCCTTTCATTTTTAAGAAAAGACTGGATGGCCTCCTGAACCAGAGTATCAACAGATAGTACCTGAATATTGCAAACTAATACATAAAAAAATTAGATAACTTTACAGTTTAAGTTGAGCCTACATACAGAGAAACTATTACAGGCAGTTAAATTAATTTTATAATAAACATTGTTTCCACTCTTTCTTCTCTGTAACCACCACAGTGTGTGTGTATCTACAATCACTAGGCACTTTGCCAGTCTCTTCTAAAACAAGTTTACCAAAGGCATTTTCAAATTTTCAATGCAGAAGTAATACTATATTAATACTACTTTCAGGGTCAGGTGTTTCTAATCTTATTTTGGAAGATAATGAAGGAATGATATGCAACCCATCCATGTAAAATACAGATGTATCTGAGGTTCAAGAATTAGTTACAAAAGGGTTTGACCAAACAATTTTCATTTAAAGAGTCAGATTTTAATACAAATAAAAGTTTTAAAGAATTTCAGGCATAAAAACTAAACAAACAACCTCTACCTTTTTCAATAAACTTTGCACAGGTAGTTTTTCCACTAAAAACTTTTCCCAAAATACATCCCGTGATAGGAAATGAAGTAGGTACACGTGGTGAAGGTTTGGGTTGTGGAGGATAGAACAAATCCATCAGTCTACGAAGAATGTGACCCAATATGTTATTATTAAGAGGAGGTTTGTTTTCACTGTTCTCTTCAGTTGGGCTCCATTCCCCTGTCATACTCTGTATAAATGACAAATTAGCAAATCATGTCTCAATATGCCTTGTCTTTCATCTTTCTGTATATATGTATTTACACACAAACACACTACATAAAATAAGCAAATTTGAATAGTATTAAATAATATTTTTTAGAATTGACCCTTGTTAAAAGGTACAATTACATCATAATCATTAAACATTTATTGATATTCACTAATAACTAGTTAAGAGACAAGTACTCATACAAACACTTTCATGGATTCTGTGATGTTTTGCTTCTGGTTGGATGCCAGGTGCTCACCAAAGCCAGTCTATCACTCCCTTCATCAACAGGAAAGGGGAGAGAAAATATAACAAAATGTTCGTGGGTTGAGATAAGGACAGGGAGAGATCACTCACCAGTTACTGTCATTGGCAAAATGGACTCAGCTTGGTAAAATTAGTTGACTTTATTACGTGTCAAAATCAGAGCAGGATAGTGAGAACCAAACCAAATCCTGAAAACACTTTCCCCTCACCCCTCCTTCCTTCCTAGGCTTTATTCCCAGTTCTCTACCTCCTCCTGCCCACTCCAGTGGGGGAACAGGGAATGGGGGTTATCACATGTTGTTTGTGTTGCTTCTTCCTCCTGATGGAGAGGAATTCTTCCCTTCCTCCAGCATGGGGTCCTTACCACAAGAGGCAGGCCTCCTTGAACATCTCCAGCACAAGTTCTTCCCACAGGCAGTTCATGAACTGCTCCAATGTGGGTCCCTTCTATAGAGTGCAGTTCTTCAGGAACAGGCTGCTCCAGGACAAGTTCCCCATGGGTCACAAGTCCTCCCAGCAGACCTGCTCCTGTGCGGGCTCCTCTCTCCACAGGCTGGAACCTGCTCCAGCACAGGCTTCTCTTGGGGTAACAGCCTTCTTTTTGGCATCCACCTGCTCTAGTGTGGGGTCCTCCAGGGGCAGTAGGTGGATCTCAGCTCTGGTGCCTGGAGCACCTCCTCCACTGACCTTGGTGTCTGCAGAGCTGTTGCTCTCACATATTCTCACTCCTCTCTTCTCTGTCCTCAATTACTTCTCTGTGCAAACACTTTTTTTCCTTCTTAAATATGTTATCACAGAGGTGTCACCACCTCAGCTTTGGCCAGTGGTGTCCAACTTGGAGCCAGCTGGCATTGGCTCAGTCAGACATTGGGGAAGCTTCCATCAGATTCTCAGAGAACCCACCTCTGTAGACCCCTCTGCTGCCAGGACTTTGCTGTGCAAACCCAAAAAAAGATTCCTATAATCACTTTTTAAATTCCTTAAACATGAAAAATAATTTCACCAATACCACAGACTTAATCAGTAGCAGATTTTTGTATTAGAAATCCAGTATTCTACCATTCTGCATTCTAAAACTGGGCAACATTATTGTCCAGTATCACACCTAAATCTTTGAAAGTTTTATGAGGGACTTCAAATATATATTTGCCTAGAACACATTCAATAGAGAGAAAAAAAACCCCAAACCCAACAAACTGAACCAGTTCAAACAATTTTAAGGGAAGGAAATACTGAGTAGAAACTTCCAGTTCATGTACTCTGAGATCAATAGCAATTTATGATTTACCAGCACACAGCCTAATGAGGTTTTGCTAGTAAAGATCCTCTTACTGAAAATCACATCAGAAGAAAAACAAGACTGAAGGATGTAATCAAAAGAATGGAACACAGAATTACACTTTTGCCACTCTAATATATATTCTACTATTATTTATTCTACTAGTATTCTATCTTGCAGGACTAGCAAAGCCCTCGTGCAGTTTATGCTGTGAGAAGATAAAAGACAACATTTTAATATGCAGGATAATACTAGTCCTGTATTAATATTTATTTGGTTGCAGAATATTAAACACCTGTTTCGAAGATATGTTGACTAATAATATTTACTATTAGATTCTAGCTTGTCACTTCATTTGGGATGTGCAATAAAGTGTTGGCAGGCAAAGTCAAATGTTTCAGCAAGAGAAATGCCAAGTTGGGAAAAAAATGATGAAAAAAATTGTTCACAATGAGAGTGGTTAAACAATGGAACAGGTTGCACAGAAAGACTGTGGAATCTCTACCCTTGAAATGCTTGAAAGCTGACCAGACAAAGTGTTGAGCAACTTATCTGACTCAGATGTTGGCCCTGTTTTAAGCAAAGAGGTTGAACAAAATGACTTTCACATCTCTTCAAAGGAAAACAACTGTGTCATTCTATAAAATTATATATCTAATATATAAAATAAATATATATGTCTATCTCATATATATGCATGTACACACATATAGAAAATTAAATATTTCATTACCATCAACAAAAGTGAACAGTTTTAAAACTCTACTGAAAGTTAATGTTTTGAATTCATATTCTGGATAGAATATGCAACCTTTTCCTGAATCCACTATCTGAATGATGTATTGCCACAGTATACATTCTACTAATAGAATTTGATCACTGTTCATTTTGAACTTCTGTGTATTAGATTGAAAAACACAATGTTAATTATCACTCTAAGTTAAATTTCAAATAAAATTTCAAATCAATAAAACAACAAAAAAAATATTGTTGAGTTAACATATGTTAACATATCCCCTTTCTAAAACATCTCAGGAAACATACTTCTTCATACATAATTGAAAAGACATCCTTACAAAACCCCAAATCCTGGTCCTATCTGAACCATTTTTCCTTAAACATATAAGTACAGATCGATCAGTTGTTTTAAATTTTATTAGACCTTGGAGAAAAATTAATTCCAAATGGAATGGTTTCCCCCACCTTTCAGCTTTTTGGCCCTTTTAAATTGAAAATTGCTAGACTGCACCTGCCCTGAGGTAAAGTAGTTTACCTGTAAGAAACAAGTTTTCCAGGTGAGAGTTATATAACTCCTGGTCAATACTTCCAAATGAAACTGGAAATTATTTAATATTTTGAGGACTATCTAATGTTATGTTTGTTTTGAGTGATTTATTATGGGATTTGCCATGACTGATAATACAGTAGTTTCCAAATATTTTCATGCTAAATCTAATGTATAATGTGCACTGCATTTTCTTGTATTTTATCAAATATACTTGACACTTTCAGCCAATATGTCATGTAAACTTAGTATTCTTGAGAGATGCCAAATTGCCGGCCCTGGGCTTTTTACACAAAGTTTAGGGAAATGAGCATAAACATTGCCAGAATGCCCTGCTAATACACTTTTACCTAGAAGCAATACTTTGAAGGCATTAGCTGTTCACTTAGGTTTTCAGAAGACATAAGTATGAATTGATGCCAACAATTTTACATGTCATATTATACCAGCTTTTGATGAATAATGATTCAGACAGGAAACAACATCTGTGAATAAATTAATTACGTGACTGTGCATTTGAAATAGCCTGGCAGGAAAAAAGAGGCTTTAAATGTGTCAATAAATCTTTGTGACCTTCACTAATGTTACATCTAGAGAGGACTTTATAATATAAACAATATGACCAAAACCTAATTCTTCATCACTCCCCACTATTTCCTGCCTGTCTGTCCTGTATGTCCTTCCTGTTTACTTCGGGTATAGGCCTTTTTTTCACCTAAAAAAGTGATCATGAAATTCTTTACATGAGATGGTATGCCGTGAGTAAGGACCTTAAAAAGAGATACATCAGAAAAACATATGTTAAGACTAAAGCCACAGAAACTCATAACATTTATACTCATTGCAAAAGAAAATGGGCCGGTTGGCTCAGGATGTGGGTAAAAACGCATATATATTGTAGTTATAAATTCCCAACAAGATAAAGACAGGTTATTTGCCATGATTTTGCCACATTCTATTTATCAAGTTATTGGACAAGCCTAAATATGTAGCGGGATTTTTTTTTTCCCCTGAAGAAAAGCTTCATTAATGTAACTTCCAGAAAATTGTACTTATACATTTTAACAGGGAAACATTCATCCTTCATCTTCAAATTTTGAAATTACATTAACGTATTGTAAAGTTGAAGAAAAGTTTTAAGGTACCCTGAAAAATAGTTTCTTCTATTTCAATGGAAGATTAAGAAAAACGTCAGCCATTTTTAATAATTTTCACAAACATTACTCTCTTAAAATGAATGGATCACTCAAACCAATTAATCTTGTTAGAAAGCTTTCACTCAAAATTGCTGAAATTAAGACTTTTGGTATTGTAACATATATAGTATTTAATTTTACTGCTTTTACTGGTTACTTTCTGATGCATTTTTAAACCTGGTAATATAAACTATACTTCCAAATTCCAGTTTGCTGAAAATGTAAGGTGTATTATCTTCCATTATGTGTTATCAGTTTGGTGTACCTTGTATTCACCATAATCTTTTTCAGCTAACAGACTCATTTTATTCATCTCTACAAGTTGTTCCGGTCCAGGTTCATTTGGCAAAGGTTGAATTGAGGCTTGTTCATATATTGGTTTTCCATTTAAAAAAAATTCCTTCCAATCCAGCATCAGTTTTAATGGAACTCGGCTGCAGGAAAAAGAAAAACAAAACCAAACAGTTCCAAATCAAAAATTGAAGGATTAGACGTTTGACAGTGGTGGACCCAAATTTACAAGAATCTTAATCATGGAACAAGTATATGCTAAACTAGTTACAGCTTATAATGCTTTCTGTAATTATTACAGCTTTTTATAAATGTTTGTTTACTTATAAGACAGCTGTAGGCACTTGTAGGCTTCAGTATTTTCACAAATGTGTTATCACAAAACATTTGGCTGGCAGAGCTGCGTAGTAACTGTTTTGCTATAGCTATTTTTGCCAGCCCCAAAACATTTCCAGTTTTGTGGGATAAAGCCTCCTCTCGCCAAAAATCTATAGAATATTTTTACTGCAAGTTAAAATTAATTTAGAATTGTATAAATAGTTTAACTCCTTTTTTTTTTTTTTAATTAGTAATTTCACTAAATTATGTCTAGGTTGACTATTTTATTATGTAGCTATTGGGCTTAAATTTATCTAATTTGTATAAAATATAATCAGATGTATTTCATATGCATTTCATATTTATCTTAACATACAATTACATTAAAAAGCAATTAAGATTTTGGTATACTTTCTAATACTGTGAGTCTTACCCAATAGTCAAATCACTGAATATTAATGAAAGAACTACAGCTACAAAGCCCCACTCTGGAGGTTTTAAAACACTTCTACAGCACAGGCACTTGGAGATTATTGCCTTTTTAAGGCCTTCTCAGAAACCCGGTGCAATTAGGGCATGTCAGCTGAGGGAATCACAGAATGTAGGACTCAGTAGAACTTGGGCTCAGTTGCTACTCTTTGGACAGTCCAGGCAGGACTACTTATCTTAGGAAATTCATCTAGTTTATACTACACCGAGGAAGTGTTCAGCCAGTAGATCAATCTAGACACCATTCAGTTTTTAACTTTTAACAAAACAACTTGTTCATAAGAAAGGAAATCAGTAGTCCACAAGCCGTGGCACCAGTGGATTTTGGTCTCCTAAGGATTCAAGTTAGTTGCATCTTCAAGAAAGTATACAAAGGCTGTAGCAGTAGTTCACTCTGTATTTCGCACCAGCCAATGCTCACACAAAACTAATCTTATGATTTTCCCACAAAAACAATTTGAAACTGTCATGTAAAATGTCTGAGAAACTACATAATTTGTTACAGTGCTTACAGCAGTCTGAATAACGCAGCCTAACAGCTACCTTACAGATGTTATTTTTGCCTAGCAGCTACCATACTCACTTCTTTGTCAGTTCACGATATTCTCCTACTTTTGTTGACATATCAATGATCTGGCCCATCACTTCCCAACATATAGAATAATGTTTTTCATAGCGGGCCTGAGCTCTTTCAGCAGCAAGTTTCTCATGCTGTTCTCTCTCTTTAATTATTTGTTCTTCATTATCAATATTTTCTTGTCTTGCAAGAGCCTGGAATTTTTTTAAAGAGTAAATCTGAGACTGCAATGAAAAACAAAGTGCAGAGGTGCACAGTCCTGGCAATGAAAATTAACTTGTTCATTTAAGTCAAGAAAGAGAAATAGCTCATTTCTCGCCAGAGTTGGAGAGCCAGTAAGCAGACTAACATGCAAACAAATCCAAAAACTTTTATTAATTCTATAAATTCCACTTTGTTTGCTTCCTAACTGCTAAAATACAATAAAGTAAAGGACAAATGTGTTACTTCTTCCATGACAAAAAGATTAAGAACATACTGAGTGCTTGGGGGCAGTGAAATTACAGGTTTCAGTGCAATTACTCATTCAGAAAATGTGACAAGTAATTTATCTTATTAGATTCTGATCTTCAAATAATTTTAAAGTATTGGTGTTGTTCAATCTTTGAAAAAGATTTCTCGTCATAGTAGAAAATTATTCCTGTGATGGTGTGCTGCTTTTGGCTGAAAGCATATTTAAAGAGATGTACTTAAAGAGATCAGATAGCTGCTGATTACACAGGACTCCAGCTGTGCTGGAGGATTTGGAGTTGCTAATCATTTTTGACAGGATCACATTATGGCCTACTATGAGCATTGCACTGGGCAGTTTTCCACAGAATTATAAGTCCTTTTAATCAACTGAAAACTTCAAGGTAGAGAGAAATTAGCATTCATGAGTGAAATTACTCCAGCATTTGTCAAAAATTGACATTAATAAATTATATCTAAGTGAAATTTAAAACATGAAATTTAAAACAAGATCTTAGGTTATTGTCTTTTGTCCTGTTGCCTCTGCAAGACTGTGCCTTTTAAATTCAGCACACAGAGATGTTTTCCTACAAAGTTAAAATTAGTATACAAAAAAAGATCAAAATTGGACTTTAAGTTGCTCAGCTTTATCCCTTATTATCCCCCTGCCATGGGGGGCTGTTCTTCCTCCCTCCCTACATAATTCCCCTAAAGTTTTAACACACTGCAAAATGCTCTCCATTCCACAATTACAGTTACATGCTTATTGCTTATCACCCACATTAGCTGTAGCTTTGAACTAAAAAATAAAAGAATATATTTATCATTAAATCATCCTAGCTTGAAGCTGACAGTACAAATTCCACTTAATAACATGAAAGTATTCTAATTGTCCTGTAGCAATTCAGAGAGCAAAACAATCTTTTACCGCTTCTCTGTCAAGTGCTTCCTGGAACTCTTTTTCCCGTCTTTCTTCATATTGTTTTTCCCTAAAGATTCTGTTTTGCCTTAACACCTCTTTTTCATGTCGAACGTGCATGAGTTGAGTAGCAATCCTCCGCTCGTGCTGAGATTGTTTCATTAGTCTGTAAATAAGCTGATCCTCCCGGTAAGCCTTCTAAAAGATATAAAATAATGCTACTAAGCACAGTTCGTAAACTACTTCCTAGACAACTCCTAAGTGTCCCATATGAGAAACATGAGTGGAGTCATATAACAGCATTCACCTGCTCATATGATACAGAAATCCAGAACAACAATCATACCTATTTATTAGTACTATTTTTGTAAGTACTAGCATTATTTATGTAAGGATTTACAGCAGCAGTATTTATGTAAGAATTGTAGAACTATAGAAAAGAATTCTAACTATGTCTTAACTGAGATACTCAATAAAAATACATGTGTCAGATTAACCTAATTTTAACGTGGTTATTTCCTGTGTGCAAAGAAACTGCAGAATATTTGAAATAATGGCTGCTGTTTCTAAAGATATACTCTTTCCTCATATAATTACTTATTTCTGCTATTCACCAGTCCCCATTCTCAGCCACATTTTACTGGATCCTTGATAGCTCTCTTTTCTACAGGTTTGAAATTTTTCCTTCTGTCTGGGGATTTGGGTAATTATCTTCTCCATTCTCCTCTATTCAGGAGACTAGGAATATGAGGAAGCATTCAGAACAGAGCAATATACAAGACTTCTGGCAACAGTTCCAGTGTTCTCACTGGGACATGGATACAATACCCTATTCAGTACTATGGGAAAATCATTCTGAACCATTGCTTGAGGGATGGTCTGTGTACACAGACACTTTCAAGGCTATGGATTGTTATTTTTATAAGTGCTCTCAAAACATAAGTTTTGCTTCACTTCCTGAGAGAAGCAAAAACATCAGCTTGCCTTTCAAGCCCCATTGCCAAACATCACTCCTACAGCAGAATTCTAGAGGAAATATCTGATTTGCTGAATATTTGTTTCACACGCAGCAAAACTGCTAGGAAATATTTTCCAGTGTAAGGACCTAAACTGGGAACTGATTTGAAGATTTCAAATTCATTTTCCTAAGAAACATGGGCACAGTAAAGCCAGTTAGTAGTACAAAAAAACCCAAACCAAAAGAAAATATCACATCTATTTTCTTTTATCTGGTTTATTTTTTCATCAGCTGTCTGTGACAGAGAGGGCAAAATACCTTACATAAATACACCTGTAATCAAAATACCCTATTTGATTACATACTACATACATACTATTTATGAAAAAAATCTACAAAGAGGTCTGGATCGGTGCTACACAATGCAAACCAGGACATCTGTAAAAAAATTTTTATGCAAAGCATGGTTATTTGAGTTTCAATAATAAAAACAACAACTTTCCAAACAATTTATTTAATACTGATGTTGGGAAGAAGTCAATTAAAAAAAAAAACAAAACCAATCTCTTTCCTTATTTTTAAGTTCTTTTCCCTTCACAATTGCTGGGAATGAAGTACATTCTAATTAAATACTGGTGATTTGAAAATACTAAACTGATATAAAAATATCTCAACATTTTTCTTATTTCAGCTAAAATGTAGGCTTTGCACTCCCCTTTCCTAGCACCAAATCTCATAACACTGCATGGTACTTCTAATGGCAGACACAGTCATCTCAGGCTTTAATCCCAGAGTGGTTCACCCACATGATACAAAGCTTTTCTCAAAATGAGGGACTAATTTTGAATGTGTTGTGCTTTGTACCCTATTTGTAGTGTACTGTTTGTAAGCTATTTTTCTACAGAGAGAATTATCATCATGCATACAACTGAAGTGGAAAACAATGCAATCAGAGCAATTTTATATTCCTTCTATGTGTCACTTGATATAGTTCAGGTAATGAATTTTTCCAATAGTACTGCCTACTGAAGAGTTAGTCTGTCCATTTTATCCTACATTCCTGACCTCAAGGCAACAAAAGGAGTAACAGCACCCTTTGCCATCTCAGTTCTATCCACTCCTACTTTGGACTTAGTATTTCATTAAGATTTCAAAGAAGAGTAGAAAATGCACAGTGTGTTTCCTATTGCAAGTAAATATCCTTCATTATTTTCTGTAGTTGCTACTGCTTACCTTCAGCCATGGATTATTACAGCAGTAGGTACTTCACCAGAAGAAAATGGATTTTAAAACCCTAATTCAGAGGGAATTGAAGGAGTCAACCTAAAAGAGTGGTCATTTGTCATACTCAAACCATCAACTTAATAGTGCAAAAAGTTGGTCCAGTAAGAAACGAAACCACCTTATGTAGGCGAATGTCCCCTTCCTAAAGCAAATGGATAGATGCTCCTTTAGAACACTTTACAGCAGCCAAAAGAGACCTTGTCTTTGTTAACTGAAGTGTAGAGAACTTCAGTATTCTAAGTGACCAAATATTTTGGCATGCTCATTAGGCCTAAAAAGAGTTAGTAGGAAATTTCTGAGGAACAAGAATAAATGAAAAGGCAATTAACTCAAAGATAAACAGATAAGTAAGGATTCAGAACACCAAACTCATAGTTTCAGAGAGGTTGCTTATTGGGTGGGGAATGGAAGCACTGGTATCTATCTTTCATACAAAAAGGAATGGACAAAGTACTCAAACCAAAGGTTGACAAGTTTTAAAACTTCTGGACATAGTAGAAGACAAAATAAAAATTTTAGTACCATTTTTTGACCTAAAATTTTACATCAACATCTTCACAGAGGACTGTGAAGTGTTTGAAGAAATCATAAATATCATAATTGGGACATCTGCATAATAAATTGAAAAATTACTATTAAAAGAGCACAATATACACTTTTTTCCAGCTTACCTACTTGAGACAACAGTGGCATCCAGTGGCCAAATTATAACGTGTGTATGTTTCATGTTGTTCATACATAATTACTATATCACGTTTCAATTTTTCTATTTCCTTGTTTGATTTACATACAAGTGAAACAATTTTGTGCTGTTGTATGGTCATAAAATTTATGACCAAAAATTACAGTTCAGCATACACAAATCTATTTGTTTACATACAAGTAATAAGCTAGTAACACTTCATTTCTCCTCCCATTTTCATATTCTCAATTTATTGCTGAAAGTAACTTATTCCTGATAACTTTTTAATTCAGAGAGATAAAATCTGAACAGAGGACCTAAAAATAACAATCACAAAGTACAAATAATTTGTTGAAATGGTGGAGATAAAGGTTCAATATGGATGAAGCCATATTACTGTCAAACATTTTCAACACCTCTCTATGAAAATCTGACTGGCATCATGCTGTGCTCTACAAAGAGTAGTCATGTAAAGTATTTTCTCTCCCAGTCTTCAACCTGTAAAGTGCCAAAGTGCCAAAAAAAAAAAAAAAAAAGAACAAAGTTCTTTTAGTAAGATCTATAAGCATGGATTCAAAACAATCTACCACACTCTGAAGGGACGAAATTCATTTGACTCTGAATGATCCTATGCCATGTTCAAGGTTTAGGCTGTATAGGTAAAATCCTAATCCTAATACCAAAAGGTAGCTACAGTTTCAATGTGAAAATACTTTCTGGTTCAGCACGTAATGGGGGGGAAATTTAATCTTCAACTATTTGTATATTCATTTATTTTTTAAAGAAAATACCTTAGTTTGCTTTCCACTTAAGTCAAGCAGCATCTCATTTTTGAAATCTTGAAGTTCCAACCAAACACCTCTTCCTCTGCTAATTTAGAACCAAATTACCACTAAATAAATTCTCTGATCTAGTCAGACCACTGTTCCAGTCAAATGCTCACTTGTTTGTTTTTCTAATCCCTGCAGTCTATGACTTCAATTGTTCCTGTATCAAAGCTGATTTTTTTTTCCCTGTGAATTTAGGAACACTATTGTTAGTTTTGCTTGACTTGGAGCCTCTCTGGATCCTGTTTGATTGGCAGTACATTGTAACAGTTCCTCCATCCCAAACTGACAAGCCCTATCCTACACCTCAGGTGGACCAGCCGTGTGACCTCCTCACAGCACTGGTTGTCTTTGCTGGCTTAGAGCTGCTGAATCCACCAAGCACCCCAGTGACTGATCCTAATACCTACAGGGCATTAGGACTTTTGGAACCACTAGTCAAGGCTGCCAGGGCTGCAAGAGTTAAGACCCAAAGAGCAAGTTTTGGGACTGCAGTGATTTCAGGCAAGTGGACTGCAGAACTTCCTCACAGCCTATGGATAACACCAAGAACATGATGTAAAATCTCTCTGAATGAGAACTGAGAGACAGGATACATGGAGAGATGCACTCTTGGTCTAAGCTACTACAGGTGTTTTTCAAGAATATAGATCTGAGATAGACATAGAGAAGCATGTTGTTCCTAGATGGCTCCCTCAACAAATGAAATTTTTTCTTAACACTTCCAAAAAGTCTCACAGAACCACAGAATATGCCAAGTCGGAAGGGACTCACAAGGATCATTGAGTTCAACTCCTGGCCCTGTACAGGACCAGCCCCGAGAGTCACACCATGTGCCTTAGAGTATTATCCAAATGCTTCTTGAACTCTGTTAGGCTTGGTGCCATGACCACTTTACTGGAGAGCCTGTTCTGGTACCCAGTTACTCTCTGAGTGAAGAACCTTTTCCTGATATCCAACCTAAACCTCTGCCAACACAACTTCAGGCCATTCCCTTGGGTCCTCTTACTGGTCACCACAGAGGAGAGATCAGTGCCTGCCCCTTCTCTCCCCCCCTGCAAGGAAGTTGTAGACTGGGATGAGGTCTCCCCTTAAGTCACCTCTTCAATCTCCAGACATTACATGAGAAGGTTTAAAAATATATACATATATATAAAATATATGCAACACATCTGAAATGCTTTTATTATGCAGCAGCAGTGGAGAAAGGCCCAGCTATAATGGGTTCAACATGTATGATCTAAGCTAAGGACTCACAGTGAAATGCTAAAATAAATGATAACCAGAAATCACAGAAATCCAGTAAATTACAAGTTCTATTTCTATACAATCACTACAAAAGAGAAGACACATGAAATCAGTAATCTAAGAGCTGCTTTTTGAATGAGGAGTATCTGAAGAGAAATCTTAAAAGCCTTGTGCTTTACAGGACAGGATTTAAATGGAATAACCTGCAACATCCATTTTTAGACACAAGACAGACATTCTCCAGAGATGTATCTTCTATTCCGTGACACACCAAAAATCAAAGCTCTGACCTGCAAATTAAGTTTTGATTCTTCTCTTTGTTCAACTTTGGGGGAGGGGTGGCAGGGAATACAAGGGAGATCTTCAACTGACTTTTATAATCTTTGCTCTGCTGCCTTTATTTAATCCTTTGTGGTTTGTAAGCATGGTGTATGACATAAAGGTTGTGAGAAAGAACAGATAACCTTCCCTATTTCTCAAGGAAAGCCAATGGTTGGCATAAAAGTATTTTTCAGATGTAAGTGCATATATCTTCCTCTATCTCCTCCAGAAGTGTTGTGATTTTATATTTGTAAGCAAATTTTTAGATTGGTAACTGCACATGCACTCTACAGTTGAGCATACAGTTTCTCACCTCTTCAGATTCATGTGCTTGTAACTGGTCCATTAGCATCTTTCGTCGTCTCTTTGCTCGTTGTTCTCTAGCAAATGTATCTTCCTCTAAACGTTTTTGAATTTTCCTTATATATTCACCATCTGAATAAACACTTAACAGCTCAGTTTTTGTTTGTGCTGTAGTTTCTTGAGTTGCTTCTTGCAGTTTTTGTGTTTGGAATGATTCTCGCATATCACTGCTTGAAAAGATTAAAAAGAGAAAGATCTCTGACTTTATAGGAATTATGGTTCTTAAAGCAGTTTACATACAGATCCCTACATAGCTATATGCAAGTCTAACAACTGTACATCACTCTATGGGTACTGTGGCTACTTCTGGGTGCCTTTGTTACTTGGGTTACTCCTCAAGATTTCCATGCACTCTGAGTACAGTTTTGCAGTTATTAATCACAGGTTTTCACACAGAAATATCTACAGCAGTATGCATGACTATTACCTCTTGACATATCAATACAGATCAATACATATCAATACAGATGACAGAATGACTATTACTGCAACATACAGTCAAGTTTCACGAAGAAAGTTACTTCTCTATTACCTTTGAAATTAGTTACTGTGTATGTATATTCACAGCCATTCCCACATCTCTGCAAGGCTAAATGACCTTATAGATCCAATGACTAAAATTAAGAGAAGACATGCATTTTGAGCCCTTTCTTGCTGTATATGTGACAAAAAGTGGTGGAGGAAGCTTGAGCCATCCCTGCTACAACTAAAGGTAAGGTAAAGACACTTCAATCGTGTTGGAATTGAAATATTTGTAGTGGGACAATCACTCAAAGAACAATCACAGTTTGAACCAAATGAGACATTACTTTTTTCTCAAGTAGCTGCCTACATAGATAGCAGACACATGAGGTAGGATCCTGTCTATTCTTAACAATTTAATATCCAAATATTACCTGTCAGTCACCTGGCTGTGTAATTCATAGGCACTTCCTGCCATAGACTTCTCAAACTTGTCTATTTCCTTGTATACGTTCTGAAGAAGTAACACAAAATTTATTGTTTCCTTTCTCTTCACAAAACATCAGAAAGAAGGTTCAACAGAATAAGTATTAGGGAATTACTTTTATGTCATGCATGTACAACAGAAAGGCTTACACTGAAAATATTTTAAGCATCACCTAGATCAAGAATAACGACAAGATTATTTTCATCTCCTAATTTCTACTTCTTCCCCTGTTCCTTTTCCCTAGCTGCACCTACTTCCACCAGCCAGAATAACCTAAAAACTTGCAGCTGTTCATTCTTCACAACAATTCTAATTTTGGGTAGGACTTTAGTAGTTTACATAATTCTCACCATTCAGGGATATGAAAGGATATTCTGGGCTACGATCTGCTTTTGAATCAGTAGCTTGAATGTATCCCCAATGGTTACTCAAGCAACTATGTTACTACACTCTATATTTAAATACATCTGTGACAGCTGCACCACTGTAAAAACTGGTAATAGCTGCACTTCTGATGACAATACAATCCAGGAACTTGAATTACAATTCAAGTACTTCTCTGTACTAGATACTACAGATTTTTTTTTTAATGGTGCATTGCTATCATCTCCTGATTTAAGACAATTGTCATTTTCAGCTATTACTAACATTTTTAATGGAGCAGACAGCTTTATAGGGTGTTACAGAACAGTTCAAATATTATCGTGCAAAACTTTATCACGCACAAATGAGAAAGGAATGTTAATGCTTTTATTTCACATATTCAACTCAATAGACTAGAAGGCAAAATAGTTTTAGAAATCAAATTAGTACCTACCTATGGTATAAATTCAGTAAGAACTTTCTCTTACATCAAAACAGTTTTTATTAAGAAACAAATGCAGAATTATGATCAAATAAGTATTCAGCCCAATTTTCACTGGCTGAGTCATTTTAACAGTTATATATCAGCTGCTTTTGGATGGTGCAAGTACAGTATTTGTAAGTGTAAATGTTCCCAAAAATCAAGTTGAGTCAATATAATTAACATTAAAAGAACATAGATGATAATTACCTCTGCTTCTCTTTTCTTTAACAATTTTTTAGCTTCAATAGCTTTTATGATGGGTCTTGGTGGAGGCTTTGGAACCTTTAAAACAGCTATTTGAATCCTGTGCGCTACTTCATTTTGTCTCCTTCTTCCTATGTGATCCTGAATATTCAACATCTTGTGTTCAGATACACAGGTTGAAACAAAATACAACATAGGGTACTAATATACTACCTAAATACTTCTAAAGTAATAGAGTATATTTATATATATATATATACACTTATAGTAGTATATATATATTATATATATATAGTGTATATATATATATACAGTTAACATATTTATATGAGAGCAAAGGGTCGGTGCCTTATAAGCATTTAGCAGCTTTCATTGAATTCTTGTTTGTTACCTTTTTCAAGTCTGAATACAGCATAGAAACTGAGAATACCAGTTTCCTGGTACAGAAAATGAGAATACCATTAGGAAACACATTAGGTAATACTACTGGTGAACAGCGAGTCTCAGATGATTAAGAAGTAACAAACATATAAATTACACTCATTTAAAGTGCACTACAGATACATGTGGGCAAAGGTTGATAAGGGGAAAAAATTAGATTTTATACAAAAAAGTCAAAGACAGTCAAAATATATGTTAAATATGATATTAATAAATTTTCTTCTAAGCTTTTTTTTGTTATATTATGGATATTGTTTGTATTTTCTTTTCTAGACACATGAATTGACTTTTCTTTCTTGCTCATGTAGTGGCAATAGAACAGCTAAATAATCACAGCAAGACTCTGTCCCTTAATTAGTCATATAAAACACATATCAAATTATTCAACTACATCATCAACGTGGTTCAACACCTCCCAGATAGCTTGCCATTTCCTCTATATAAACTGTAAGCTGTACTTCGGATGAGTGTTCCCATGTCTAAACAAATTCCTACCTCTTTTTTTACTGTATCAGAATAGCTACACGGAAGCACAAGATGTTCTGAGGGCATACCCACTAGGCTCTCTTTCCCCATCTTTTCCTGCTTTTGAACAATGCTTCATCTTTTCTTTACAAAATAAGAATGCCAGAAACCTCTTTTACAAGGACATCTCAAACACATACAAGATGTGAAATTTACACTCAGTCTTCAAGTCTATATATTTTCCATGGATGACAAAACACAAGTACTCTCAATTTAAAATTATGTGACTTTTAAATAGTAACATTTTCAAAGTCACATAAGAGTATATTGACTCTGTCTCTACATATTAAGGATTTCCATGCATAGTCCTTTCCCTTGTTCTTGTATAAACATGACTGTGTAGCACACAATTAAGAAGCCTTCCCATTGGCTTTAACTAATTCATTCAGTACACATCCTTAAGAAAACACATCTTTGGAAGTCTATAAAAAGTAAGCAGTCACCTTTTCAATGTCTTGAGCTCTCTGCTCTTCTTGGAGCTTCTGAGCTCTCTGCTGCTCTGCAAAATGTGTACGAGCTATTTTATCTGCTACTGCCTTGGATTTTGTTTCAAAACGCTCTGAAATCTGCTGTAGCTGCAAATCAGCCTGACGTGGCACTAAAGTTTTCAAACGCTAAAATTAAACATTAAGCAACAAAGAGTCAGAAACAGTAATAAACATAATTAAATATTATAATCTTAAGATGTTTATTTCAAACACTGTTTTCCTGTGTTAATGGGTACAGAAAAAACATCTAAACATATTTGAATAGAAAACCAGGACCAGCTCCATTGAAAAGAACAGAGGTTTGAATTTGAATGATGCCAAGTTTGTTTAGTTTAGAGAAAAGGACACATTGCTTTGCAGAGCTTATTCAGGAGGGGAAGTGCAGAGGGAGGTGCTGTGCTCTCCTTCCTTGTTATTTAGTGAGAGGACATGTAGGAATAGAATCATAGAATCATAGGATCACCGCATGGTTTGGATTGGAAAGGACCTTCAAGATCACCTAGTTCCAACCCTCCTGACCTGGGCAGAAACACCCGCCACTAGACCAGGTTGCTCAAAGTTCCATCTATCCCAACCTTGAACACTCCCAGGGATGGGGCTTCCCTGTGCCAGTGCCTCACCACCCTCACAGTATTTTTTCTTAATACTTAATCTAAACCTACTCGAAAACTTAATCTAAATTCCTCCTTGTGCTGGCACTACATGGTCTTCTGAAGAGTCTCTCTACATCACTCTTGCAGGCTCCCTTCAGGCGCTCAAAGGCCACAATTAGGTCATTTTGTAGACTTCTCTTCTCCAGGCTGAACAACCCCAATTCTCTCAGCCTTGCCTGGTAGGAGAGGTGCTCCATCCCTCTGATCAGCTTGGTGGCCTCCTCTGGAGTTGCTCCAACAGGTCAATGCCCTGCCCGTGCTGACAATCCCAGAGCTGGATGCAGTGCTCCAGGTGGCGTCTCACCAGAGAGGAGCAGAGAGGCAGAATCCTCTCCCTTGACCTTGACTACTTTTGAGGCAGCCCAGGACATGTTTGGCTTTCTGGGCTGTGAGTGCACGTGGTCGGGTCATGTCCAGCCTCTCACCCACCAGCACCCCCACGTCCTTCTCGCCGGGGCTGCTCTTCATTTGCCCATCTCCCAACCTGGATTGGTACCAGGAGTTGCCCTGACTCAGGTGCACCACCTTGCACTTGGTCTTGTTAAAGTGCATGAGATTCCCATGGACCCACTGCTCCAGCTTCTCCAGGTCCCTCTGGATGGCATCCTGTCCTTCAGGGGTGGCAACCACACCTCTCACCTTGGTGTCATCTGCAAATTTGCTGAGGGGGCACTTGATCACTTTGTCATTGATGAAGATATTAAATAACACTGGTCCCAGTAAGGACCCCTGAGGGACACTACTTGTCAATGATGTCCATCGGGACTCTAAGCCATTGACTACCCCCCCTCTGGCAGTGACCATCAAGGCAGGTCTTTACCCACTGAACATTCCACCCACCAAATCCATGTCTCTCCAATTTAGAGAGAAGGTGTTGTGGGGGACCATGTCAAAGGTTTTACAGAAGTCCAGATAAACAACATCTGTAGCTCTTTCCTTGTCCGCTGTCGTAGTCACTCCATGACAGAAGGTCATGACCCTATTGGTCAGGCAAGACTTGCCCTCGCTGAAGCCATGCTAGTTGTCTCAAACCACCTCCCTGTCCTCTATGTGCCTTAGCACAGCTTCTAGGAGGACGAATTCCATGATCTCACCAAGCACAGGGTCTCCTTTCTACCCTTGTTAAAAATGGGCACAATGTTTCCCTTTTCCCAGTCACGTGGAACTTCACCTAATGGCCATGACTTTTCAAATATCATGGACAGTGGCTTGGGAACCACATCAGCCAATTCCCTCAGGACTCTGTGATGGATCTCATGGGGCCCCATAAACTTACATACATGATGGTACGTTACGTATTTATTCAGGTGGTCATTAACCTGCTCTCTACTTCCAACGGGAAGGACTTTGCTTCCCCAGTCCCCATCCTGCTGTCCATCCACTCAAGAGGCGTAGTTAAGACTGAGGCAAAAGACTTCTTAAGTATTGCAGCCTTTTCCTCATCTGTTGTTATCAGTTTCCCATGGCTTTTTACCAAAGGGGGTCCACTTTCTTTGACCTTCCTTTTCTGATTAACACACCTATCGAAGCCCTTCCTGTTATTCTTTATGTCCCGTGCCACAGTTTTAGTTTTGACATGGCCCTTTTCATCCCATCCCTACACAACCAAACTTCCCCTCCATACTCTTCCTGGCTCACCTTTCCTAGCTTCAAGTGCCCGTGGATTTGCACAGCAGCCATGCCGGTCTCTTGCCTTCCTTGCCTGACTTCTTGCTCCTAGTGATTACTAGCTCTTGCACTCTACGGAAGACTTCCTTAAAGATGTTCCAGCTCTGTCTCTGTTGGCAGTCTGCTAGGGAATCTCACTGACTATCTCCCTGAAGAGCTGAATGTCTGCTTTCCTAAAGTTCAGGGACCTAACTTTACTCCTCACCTGACCCACATGCCTCAGGACTGCAAACTCCACCAATGCATAATCACTCTAACCCAGGCTGCCTACAGTCTTCATGTCCCCAGTTATTTTGTTTGCATTGGTGACACATGGATCAAGGAACACATCCCCTCTGGGCTATTTCTTGGGGCAGGAAGTTATCCCTCAGGCATTCCAGGAGTCTCTGTGCTACATTCCCAAATGTCAGGTTGGCTGAAGTCCTGCAGCGGGACAAGAGCCTCTGAGCACAATGCCTCCTGTAGCTGGAGTAAGAAGGCTTTGTCAATAGGCTCCCCTTGGTCAGGTGGACTGTAGCAGACACCAGCTACAGGGTTCCCTTTTTTGTCTTGGTCTCTGATTCGTAGCCATGGGCTTTGGAACTGCTCATGCCTATCCCTTGGAGACAACTCTTCGCAATCCATCTCTTGATGCAGAGGGCAATGCATCTGCCTCTCCTTCCTCTTCAGTGTCTTCTAAACAGCCTGTAACCATTGATAGCCACACTCCAGCCATGGGATTCATCCCATGCTGCACCAGAGGAGGTTCAGACTGGAAGTTAGGAAGCATTTCTTTACTGAGAGTGTAGTCAAACACCGAGATTGGCTTCCTAGAGAGGTGGTCAATGCCCTAAGACTGTCACTGTTTCAGAGGCATTTGGACAACGACCTTAATAGCAGGCTTTAACTTTTGGTCAGCCCTGAAGTGGTCTGGCAGTTTAACCAGATGATCACTGTAGGTCCTTTCTAACTGAAATATTCTATTCTATTTAAACTGAAATATAGGAAATTCAACTTATACACAAGGAAAAAATTACTAAAAGGGTGATAATCAATTTACTTAGACAGGCTTTGAAGTCTCCAGCTTTGGAGATATTCAAGACCCCACTGAACAAGGTCCTGAGCAACCTGCTCTAGTTGGCTTTGCCTGGAGCAGTGGGGATGGACTGAGTGACTTCCAGAGGCCCCTTCCAACCTCAGCTATTCTATGATTCAAATGCTGTTCTGACTCTGTCTAAAGACCAGACCTACTCGCAGCTGCTTAACTTCTTAAGCCAGCCCTCCACAGGTGAAGGGATATTTCAACTCTCTGGCACTATCCTTGCATTTGTTCATAATCTTTCTGCCTGTAGACTATTTTTCAGGAAGTGTGCCAAAAAAAAGAGTGAAATTTTACCCAGCTGAATTTGATTCATGATATATAGCTTCTTAAAAACTGCTCATTCTGCCAGCAAATAATGGTTTGCTGAATCTTACTGCTGAAAACAAGAAGAATGTCCTTAACAGAACCTACTACATCAACACTGACTTCCTCTAAGGTACTCTCTTTTCCCTTTGTTTTTTTTCTCTTTGTGTTACCCAGCACATGATTATTGCTGGCTGGAGTGTAGTATAAATATAAGGAGAGACATGCAGAAGAATGAAGCAAATCACTGTGGCACAATGCTCAACACAGTTATAAACAGGCTTCCTGGAGGGGAAATTAGTCAAAGTTGATACCTAGACCACAATGCAGTCTGCAATCTGAACCAGTAAAAGTAAAAAGGCAGCTGATGAATTACTATTAGCCTTTGTTGTTATAATATTTTAAGTCTGGAGAAAACTTGAAAATAGAGCAGGTAACACAGGATGAACCAAAACAAAGGAAAACAGAACACAGGAGATCAACATCCTACTGAGTTACTGATAAGCTGTGTAATGCCACTGTATAAGACATTGCAAAGGACTCCTTCTTTTCAATATAAGTGTTGGGTTTTGAACAGGAGATTTAAAAAGTGGGGAGGGGAAGCACACAATACTCTTGAAAGATACATATAAATATGCTACCTTTTCTCTATTTATACAAAATAGGCATAGCTGGTTACCTCCGGATACAAAACACTCTCAATAGACTTAAGCCTTGTAGTTGCTGCGGGTCTTATCGCTTCCATGACTACTCCAGGGTGCTTTGACTTTCTCTTTTTTTCTAAAGCAACATACAATTCATATAAAAGCTTTGTTGCAGCCCCATGCTGTCCTGTCATGATGTCTTGGGCCACATTCTCATTAAACTGCACACCAAGGAGGTGAAGTGTAGGTTCCAGGCGAGAAAAATTGTTATCTTTTGCATCTGCAGCCCTATATGATTAAAAACAACAATAAAACCCAGAAAATAAACTTATTTTCAGTTCCGACTCGTTGCATTAAACATGGTTGTGATACTTATCTCATACCAAGGTAGGAGGAGGAAAAAATAAAACCCACAGAGGACTTCCTTAAATAACGGGTTACACAGTTTGGCTTAGGTTTTATACTGCAGTATAAAATAACTACATTGATTACTATGCATAACTTCTGGAAAATACAAAGAATACATTAGATTATAATAAATCCTGATATGTAAATACACAAACTGCATCTGACAGCAAAAGCTAACCCCCAATTGCAGCTAATGGTATCTCATCCACAAAACACACACAGAGTTTGAATGAAGTTTCTGTATTAGCTGTATCATCACTTGAGCTCTTACCAATCAAAACATAGGAAATGATAAAAAGAGTCTGTATTATCCATTAACTCTCACAACACTTGGACATATTTCTTCTCCAATAAAAAGAAATGGACACACAGGTTAGAATGAGCAATTTACATTCAAAGCTAAACTAGTGGCTTGCAGATTACTGGCTCTCTTGATATGTAGATTTTCCTGTGAAAGCAGTCAATATCAATAGATATACAGGGCAAAATCAAATAATAATAAATTATCAGTTCATCACAACTAACACAGCAAATAGTATCCAAAAAATCCATAACTTCAGTCTGACTCAGAACATCATGCTTTCTATACTGCTCTATCTCTTGAGTTCACAACAGTTCCTTCATATCTACCAACCAGCTTTTGAGGTCAGCTGAGCTCCAGCATAATTCTACCAAAATGCCCAATTTTACCTGAAGACCTTCTGGTAACAGAGTATTCTTCTTATTTTTAGATGAAACTGTCCAGGAGCTCATTATTCTCTCTATAATAGTCCATGCCTTATTTTTTACCCAATTATATATAACTGCAGCTTCCAACTACTGAACATTTTTCTGCCATTGATTCAAGGTTAAGATGAGCCCTATTGTCACAAACCATCTCACATGTACTGAGAGGTTGTGGTGACACCACCTCTTAACTTTTTATTCTGCAAGGTGCAGCAGACTGGTTTGTACATCCTATATTCCCCCTCCTTGCATTCCTTGAACAGAGGGGTGGCAGTTGCAGTCTTCTAGTCCCAGCAACTTCCCCAGTCATCAGGACCTTTCAAAGATTATTGAGTGGCCAAGCAGTGATATCAGCCAGGGCCCCTTAGTTCAGGTGGGTAGATGTCATCAGGTCCCACGGACTTGCATATTTTAAATATATTTAAATGTTTCTTAAACTGTTCCTCCTCCATGGGTAAATCTTTCTTGCAGCAGATTTTCCTGTAAGTCTCAAGTGCTTGGGATGTTGCAGCTTTTTGGATGTCTCAATAGGTCCACATTTTCCCTAGCCTTCCTTTTGCTGTGGGGATACCTGTAAAAGCCCTTCTCACTGCCCTTCTGCCTATGCATAAGACAAGGCATTTTCACCATGAGGACAGTCAAGCAAGCATTGAAACAAATTGCCTGGAGAGTTAGTGTAGTCTCCATCCTTGGAGGTTTTCAAGATCACACTGGGTAAACAACTACTGCAGACTTTCCTGTTAGTCTCAGGGGCTTGGGAGTTCAGAGTGTGAGTTTTACCAGTAGAATAGACTAGGACAGAGTAAGTAAGACATTTAGTATCTCAGCCTCAGCATGACAGTCTGAGGAATACTCAATGATCAATGGAGCCATACTCTGCCACCTTCGATGCAGGAAGACAACTCAGCATGGCTGCTACAGAGGCAGGTCTTGGATCTTACCTGCTCTCTCATATACAGGGCAGCTTTTCTTCCTTCTCAGCTTCTTCCCTGTTTGTCCATCCTAAAGAGCCGGTATCCAGCCATGGCAGCACTCTGGTTGTGTGAGCTAATCCACTGCCTTTCTGTGATTGTAATGATAGTCCAGCAACAATTCACAGGCCTCTATTTTCTTGTTTGATCCCCATGCTGCATGCTTTAGTATACAGGCACTTCAGAGAGGCAGCCAGTTGTGCTGATTTTAAAAAAATGTAGAAAAATTTAAAGGTGTGAATGTTTATCCTGTAATCTTATCTTTTCTGCACTTCCTTAATTGTGTGCATACATTTGGGGTGGGAAGCCTTCTGCACTGTTTTGCTGCTCTTATTCACATCACCCTCCTCTTGCTTGCCAGTCCAGACCATCACTTCCTCAGTTGTTTGAGAGTAGTCCTCCCTTTTCCCCTCATTCCTAGTTTACATCTATCCTCACCAGGTTTGTCAGGCTGTTTCAAAGACTCTTTTATCCATCTTGGCCAGGTGGATCCCATATCTTCCTAGCAGTCCTCCCTCTTGAAAGAGGATCCCATGGCTGTGAAAAACAAATCTCTGCTGTTGACAGCAGCTGCACAACCACTTGTTGACCCGTAGAATCTATCTAGTCCTCATCGAGCCCATCCACCTCACCAGCAGAAATAAGGAAACAAAAGTATTTGGGCCCCATGCTTTTGACTCCAGGTCTCTCTGGCAGTATCCTTGGTGCCAACAGAGAGGAGCAGCAGGGATAACAATGCAAAGGCTCTGGACGAGTCTCTGCAGCTCTGGACTGAAACCCCAGCATGCAGTAAGCCCCCCTTGGCTAGCATGTGAGGTGAGCAGATGGGACCTCTATCTCCCACTGCTATCACCTGTTCCCTCTGGTGCTCTCATGTAGTTTAGACCTCACGAGCTCAGAAGTTTTATCATACAGTGCCACCTTTCATCTGCTACCACAGCTTCACATCAGCAGGTAGAGCAGACATCTTCCTTTCCTTGACAGAAGTCACCTCCTTGCCAGTTGTCTCCTCTTCCCAATCCAACCAGCACAGATTCTGCCTCCTCTCTCCCAGAAGAGCTGCAGGTCCAGGTTCCTGTATCCGCGGTGCCTCAAAGAAGGTCCAGTCCACTGATCTCATTCTGCAGCAGCTTGACTTGATAACACAGCTCCTCCATGAGCACACACCTCTGCAGGCAAAGCCATCACCTTCCACTGATGAAGATGTAAAGACTCTGGACACTCCCTTTAGTCTAAGACAGGGAGAATCGACTCCTTCCTCTGGAGGGAAAACTGACTTGAGGCCTCCGATGTTCCGGGGAGTTGCTCGACTGGGTATTGGTTATCATACCCTGTTGCACATCACCACCCTTGTTGAGCACACATACACTGTCTCGGCAGAGTTTCTAACCACTTCTTGCACCTACTGAAGTGCATCTTCACTAACTGCACCTCAAAGCACCCTTTTATTGGGAAGAATCAAGAGAACTTGTCAGAAGCTGCTACAGCCTGCTAGAAGTAAAAGCCTGTTATTTTTCCCAGCAACAGCAGGTACTCTAAATTCCTCAGAGTTACCAAGGGTTTTCCAATGATCCCACAAATTCCTGGGAGATCTAGAAGTCCTAGAAGCAAAGCACAAAACTGCTGCGCAAAAGTGCTTTTTGTTGGCTGCCTTTGTTAGCTGTACTCAAGCTCCTCTCTTGCAAATTGGTGGGACTTGCAGAGGAAAGGGTGTGAATACATGGGAAGTTCAAAGAACATAAAAACAGAGGTTCAGAAGAAACAGGAAGATTTCATGCAGCCTGGTACTCTTGATGCATAAGCCAAGGAACCCCATGAACTGCATCATCAACGTATCAAAGCTCAGAGATCTGCGCAAGACTTTTCAACTTCACATTTTTCAGTTCTTCTTCATTACAGATATTACACCAGATTACCTGTAAACTTATAATTCTTGTATAATTTTCTGCCAATGCTTCACTCAGTCTCAAAATGGATCTCCACCATTTTCATTTTAGTGAAGATGTAATGGTCATCACCATACCACAGCTCTGTACTCCTGGCTCTACACAGCTCACAGGGACAGTGATAGTATTTCCAGCCCTAGAGACATCCTTGAAAGGCTTTTTGAATTTTTGGTCTAACCTGTTACTATTGTAGTTACAATCAAAATGCATGATTTTCTTAAAGAAGTATGACCAGTCTCTCTAGATATATGACACTCATTCATTCATCACACAAGTATCTTTTGAATCTCTGAAAAATGTTTCAAATCTCACCAAGTTCTTTGTGTTTTTCCACTCTGCATTAACAAATCCTGAGAAAATATGTATAATATATTAAAATATATCTACTTTATGTAAAAGACATGTTATCCATAAGTACTAACCTGCTCTGGGAAAATTGATTAAAGTCATCCTGAAGACCATATTTGTGTAGAATTTCTCCTAGGAGGTAGCCATTTGAAAATTCTTCTGGAAATGATCCTGGAACTAAGTTTTGGGTTTTGTTGTTTGGGTTTTTTTCAAAAAATAAGATAATTAAAAGAATTCATACATTAATCTTAATACATCTTGTTATTATAACAAAATTAAATCCAAATTTCATCAAATAATTCAGAGGAATTTTAGGAGATTGACCTAGCAGCAATAGTTTTCATCTCACAAATAAATAAACTTTCTGTGTAGTTATTTTGCAGTATCTGCTTTAGGTAGTAATTTCTCATTTTCATTGTAAAAATATAAACATTGAGATTGTGGCAATATCTATAAATTATGATTGCTATATTTTCCATTCAAAATGCAAATAAAACAAAGCTAGACCTAAAGAGCTTCTCTTCAAGAATCATAGAATATGGTGAGTTGGAAGAGACCCACAGGGGTTATCAAGGTCAGCCCTATGCAGGACACACCAAGAGTCACATCATGTGCCTGAGAGTGTTGTTCAAACACTTCTTGAAGTCTGTCAGGCTTAGTGCTGTGATCACTGCCCTGGGGAGCCCGTTCCAGTGCCCAAGCACCCTCTGGGTGAAAAACCTTTTCCTGATATCCAACCCAAACCTCTCCTGACTCAACTTCGTGCTGTTTTCTTGGGTTCTGTCACTGGTCACCACAGGGATGAGATCAGTGCCTGCTCCCCTCCTTCCCCAACATGAGGAACTTCAAGCCCATGACGTGGTCTCCCCTCAGTCTCCTCCAGGCTGAACACACCAAGTGACCTCAGCCACTCCTCATAAGGCTTCCCCTCCAGATCCCTTCATCATACTCATTGCCCTCCTTTGAGGCCATTAAGCTCCTAAAAGCTTAATGTCTTTCTTATATTGCAGTGCCTCAAATTGCACACAATATTCAAGGTGAGACCGCCCCAGTGCAGAGCAGAGCAGGACAATTCCCTCCCTCACCTGGCTGGCGATGCTTTGCCTGATGCCCCCCAGGACACAGTTGGCCCTCCTGGTTGCCAGGGCACTGATGACTCCTATTCAACTTGTCATCAACCAGGACCCCGAGGTCCCTTTCAGTGGCACTGCTCTCCAGCCTGTTGTTCCCCAGTCTACACACACAACCAGAGTTGCTCCATCCCAGGTGCAAAATCTGGCACTTGCCCTTGTTAAACTTCATACAGTTGCTGATTGTCCATTGCTCTAATTATCAACAGAAAATTGTTCCCTCTTCTTTGCAGCACAACACCTGCCATTCCAAACAAAGCACTACTTTCCAAACACATTAAAATACATTTTTCATCCCCTGGAGTCCCTATTAGCAGGTAAAGCTTGAACACTTCCTGTCTCCCGAGGGCACTTGCCCCACGAGGAGAATTAACTTTAGCTCGAAAACTTCAGGCATTGGAACAGGTTGCCCAGGAAGGTGGTGGAGTCACCATCCGCGAAGGTCTTTTAAGAGGCATCTGGGTCTGGCGCTGGTCGATGTGGTTTAGGGGTTACAGTGTCAGTGCGGGGCGGACAGTTGGACTGAGTGACCCTGAAGGTTTCTTCCAACCTTGACGATTCTGTGATTCCACGACTAAACATGTACCTGCGGCGGTACCTGGGCGCGAGGCAGCGGCCGGGGGCAGACCCCATCTCCCGACGTGGCCCGACCCCGAGGCAGCGCCCCCGCTCCTCCCCGCGCAGCAGGGCCCCCACTCACCGACGCGCCGAGAGAGCTTCACCTCCTGGTTCAGCCACTCGCAGAGGATCCGCGACATGGCCGGACCGGGCCGGGCCGGACCGGACCCGCCGCCACCTCCTCCGCGATCCGCGTCCCGTTGCCGCGGCGACCGCGTGCGGCGCCTGCGCGCTCGGGGCGGGGCGGGTGGCGGCCGTGCCGCGCAGGCGCGGCGGGCGGGCGGGTCCGCGGGTGTGCCCGGCGCGCGGAGGAAGGTGAGCGCGCGGCGGGGCGGGGCGCGTGCCTGCCGCCCCCTCAGCGGGGCGAGGGGTGGCGCCGGGCGGGGGGCCCGGCGGGACCGAGCGCGGCTCCGCCGACCCGAGCCCCGGGGACGGCGTGCCCGGGACCAGGTGGCCGGTCCCTGCCCTGCCCCGCCCCGCCCCGTGCCCCGGCGACGTGCGGGGCTGGCGGCACACGGGGCTGTCCCACCTCGCTCCGTGTGTGTCCCAGCCGGCGCTTCCCCGTTCCGCCCCGCGCCTTGTTTGCTCTTGAGCTGGAGCGGGTGGCACGGGGCAAAAGGGCTGCCAGGTTTAGGGTGACGTTAAGGACGGTGAAGGTTGGACATTAGGTAGAACTTCTTCACAGAAAGAGTGTTTAGACATTGGAATAGGCTGCCCAGGGAGGTGGTGGCGTCACCGCCCCTGGAGGTGTGTAAGGAAAGACTGGACGTGGCACTCAGTGCCGTGATCTGGCTGACAAGGTGGTGTCCGGTCACGGATTGGACTCGATGGTCACGGAGGCCTTTTCCCACTCAGTAGATCCTGTGATTCTGTGAAACGCAGCCTGGCAGGAGAAAGAAATTAATCCAGGGTGACTTTTCGAAATCCGTTCACATAACGGCACAAATTACTCTGTTGGCGCAGTGTGAAAAGGGGGAGGGAGAGCAAGAAGTGCCGAGAAGGGCTCTGGCGGTGCAAATGTGCGCTACATATCGAGGAGGGTTTTTTCCAGCAGCGCTGTCGGTGTGAGGCTCGGGAGCATCCCTGTGCCAGAACAGCTGCTCGACTGGGAGCGAAGCCGGGCTCGTAGCGAGCCTCTCCGATACGCTCTTTGCTCAGGTTTTGTTTGTATTAAGTCATCTTTGGTTTAGAATCTAAAACAGTCACAGATGGTTCTAGTGCTTCTATTCGACACGTGTGACAAAACTGTGGAGCACAGAACTACATCTGGAAAATGCACTGTGCACCATGGGGATTTCAATTGGCCAGTTTCTTCTGGAAAAGATATACGTTTTACTTAGGTTTTGGGTACCTTTCAGTGCAATACAGAATCCTAAAGGATTCTTTATCCTGCAAAAGGCAGGAACAAGAGGATCTAGTGGCTAATGGCAGGCTGACAACAATCTAACCATAATTTTCAAATGTGACAATGATCAACAGTTGGCATAACTTGAAATGTTACAAATTCTGTTTCTCTGCAATGAACAGAATTCCTCAGATTAAATCTCTGTGCTTTTACGGAGGGTGTGTTTCAAACCAAATTAAATCTTTGAGACTAAGTGAAAAGAAATGTATAACTGACCAGGTATTTATATATCTTAAAAAGGTCAGTATAGAATTAATAATACATGAATGAATGAAATAACAGGAAACTTCAAGAGAGGGGAAGTACTTTCAAGGCAAATGTTTAAATTGATATTTATATTCTTCTAAAGATTCAAAGTTTTATGTATATGTGAAGGTATAAAAATCCCCACACTTTAGGGGAAGAAAAAACAACTTGAATTTTTAATATGACACTATTTCATAGTAGTATGAAAGTGGTAGCAGTAGTATGAAAATAGTAATATTACCCCACCCCACTAGTGGTGGATATATCTGCTATCACAAGAGTGTTTTTCTGGTATGTCAGACTGCAAAGAACAAATGTATTTCAGCCTTCTCATGGAATTTTTCCCTTAGCTCCAGAAATCAATGTACATTTGTGGTTATGTATAGTTATATGTTGCTGCACATAGTCATTACCTGTTTAAGAAGTTGATGATGATTTGAAACATGCAAACGAGAACTGATTTATATTAAGTATAGAACTTCTTTCCATATCACCCCTGACTTTGAAAAGCTGGTACTTCCTGTGTCTCTAAGTTTTTCCCTTATGGAATGTATTCTTTCAACTTTATTATCATATTCAGTGAATCTCTAAACACCTGATTTAGCTTAAAATTACATAGGTTGTTCTGTCTGCTGAGATGACATAATAAAATCTTACTCAGATAAGCTTGAATTATGAGAAAAATGGAATTTCATATTTAAATTCAGTAGTGGCTTGCTGTTTTATTTAAGTCTGTCTTAGCTCTTAACAAGTTAATGTAGCTTTCTTTCAGAATTCTGGGTAGTGATAGAATTATGTATTAATCAAATTTTACTTCATTCTTTCCCTGAATTTAAGAACTTGGAAGATGTCTGTGTTCTGCACTGTGAAAGCTGAGTTGAGACAGCTTTTAAAGGAAAATTCTAGCAGGCAACAAATAAGGTAAGTGTTTCCCTAATTCTATCCTTGCTGAAAATGCCAGTATTTTTAAATGGGTGTATTCTGTGTTCTCTTAATTTTTAAATTTTTTTACTTATACTTTAATTTTGCTAGGAATACCAGTTGGAATATTATAGAACTTTCCAAACTGATTTTTCAAAGGTCTCTGTACTTTGAATGGTGTAGATTTTAGAAAGTAATACTAGATTGTGGATTGCATATGGATTTTTCATGTAAAACTTTGTCTTTATTTTAAACAACTTCATGCATCTTCTCATGGACTTGCTTTGAAAGAGGAGAAGGTTGTCCATAGGCTGAATTTATAATAGTCAAAGGAATAGAAGACATTAGACAAGAATCTATTGAGCACAGAAATTGAGGTGTCGGGGATGGTCTGTTTCATTCCTTTTGCCCTCCTTAAAGAAACTGCATATGTGAAGAACAAAAAAAAAATATAATCAAGCCTACAGCTTTTTGTACTTTAGTTTTGAATAACACAGATGCACAGTGGTGTGCATGAAGAACAAGAAGGCAAAATTCAGTTTTAAAAATGATTATCTATAAACTTCAGTGGTATCACAAAAGGACAATCAAAATTCTTCAGCATGTTCAAGATAATAAACTGAATTAGGAGGAATTCTTTACAACTTAATACAAGGAAGATTGAGAAAAGTCAAATGGAGCAGTACCTGAATTCTCAAATTAAATTCCATTTAGATTGAATCTGTGCAGACAGTAATAGCACTAAACTGATACAGAGTAATTAAAGCATGTCTGGGTTCAGGAGCTTCCTTTTTGTGCACCAGAATTTGTTGCTGCATAAACAAGATTTTTTATAAATATACTTGAAGTATATTTTTTGCAATATTATCATTCATATTGTTTGCTTGTCTCTTTTCTCTCCTGGGAATTTACAACAGGGCTAAATAGCCTTCTCTCCTCCTAGGGCTTCTTTTCTCTTTTTCCACTCTAGTTTGATTATTCGTTTTAGTTAATGTTATTTACCCACTCTGATATGATCAAATGACCATCTTCTTTTTGAAACTTAACTATATTCATCCTTCACAGACTCTCCTCTGGTCACCTCTGGGTCCTCATGTCATGATCTTGAGGTTTGTGCTTACCCCAGGTTCTCACAGCTTCTTGCTTTGTGCACCTCTCAGCTCCACTGCCCATACTGGCTCTTAAAACAGCACTACTCTGGAAGCCTGTTCTGATTTCTGCCTTGGGTTTCCCTGCTGCCACAAGAAACAGCTATATTGATTCAGAGCTTGTCTTTGTCTAGTTCAGTCTCCTGTCTCTGACAGTGATCAATAACAAACTCTGGGGAAGAAATGAAGGGAAATCATATGCTAGTACTGTATACTTATTAGCATATACTATGTTACCATACAGAACATTCTCACTGCCATCACTCATTGTGATAAAGAAATTTATGCATCTACATAAGGTAGTACAATTAACTTTTCCTTCCATTAGCACATGTTTAATAGTGACAGTGGTCTGTGTTAAGGAATTCCATAACTTAACATGGATTTATATGAACAAATCAGATTACCTTTCATTATGTGAAGAAGTACATTGCTATTTTGAAGCTGCATCCTCTGCAGTGCTCTAGTTGTTCTGTTATTTTTAAACAAGAGTATGAGGCATCCGACTTGCAGGTTGAACTGATGCTTCTAGTGCTATCTGGCTTCCAAGAGCTATATAATAGATGTATTTTCTATTCACATTTACTGCCCATCTTTGTTTTCTCTTCACCTCAGTTGTGGGTTAATGGAGCTAATATGTGTCTCATATTAACTTTGGTTAATATGGCTTATTCTGCACTTTTTATTATCTGCACCAAGAATGCTAGGTTGTGAACCTGCTGTACCAGCCCTGTAAAAAAAAGTCCCCCACTTTAAGCCGTTCTAGAACAAACATTTGGCAACACTAATGTGGCTACCTGCAATATATAAGCAAGATCCGCAATTACTACTGAAATAATCTTTATATTATAAGCAAGTGTGTCATCTGTGTTCAAATACCAATGAGAATGTATGATGCAGCCTGGGAATTTACAGGTATGCAGGAAAATACTGTAACTGGGTGCCTTGTTTTCTCTACTGCAAAGTGGATTGTTAGTATGTAGGTTCAGCTTGAGTAAATCTCAGTAAATTACTGGGCAAGATTATTGCAGAGAAGTTCTGCACTATAAAGAGACAGGACAAAATGTTTCCAGCATGAGGAACACCTGTAGTGTTATAGCTGGCTGATGTTTTGATTCTTTTCCACGCTGGCAACCAAGTAAGGAAGAAGATAATTTAATCTTCCTAAGTGAGATCCATAACTCGCTCATTGTATCTGAGTTCCATTGTATCATGGTTCCATTTAGTTCAGTTATAGCAACTGCACATTTAAACTAGGGTCTGTCTGCAGGATTTTTCAGTTTCAAGTGAGAGTCCAGTGGCTCCAGTGTGATGTGTTTGTCAGGAATTACAATCCACTATGCCAGGTCCTGCACTTTGGCCACAACAACCCCCTGCAGCGCTACAGGCTGGGGACAGAGTGGCTGGAGAGCAGCCAGGTGGAAAGGGATCTGGGGGTGCTGATTGACAGGAGGCTGAACATGAGCCAGCAGTGTGCCCAGGTGGCCAGGAAGGCCAATGGCATCCTGACCTGCATCAAGAACAGTGTGGCCAGCAGGAACAGGGAAGTGATTCTTGCCCTGTACTCAGCACTGGTGAGGCCACACCTTGAGTATTGTGTTCAGCTCTGGGCCCCTCAGTTCAGGAAGGATATTGAGGTGCTGGAGAGGGTCCAGCTGGTGAAGGGACTTGAGCACAAGTCCTATGAGGAGAGGCTGAGGGAGCTGGGGTTGTTTAGTCTGGAGAAGAGAAGGCTTAGAGGTGACCTCATCACTCTCTTCAACTACCTGAAGGGAGGTTATAGCCAGGTGGGGGTTGGTCTCTTCTCCCAGGCAACCAACAATAGGACAAGGGGACATGGGC